TTTTTTTTTTAAGTAAAATAAATATAGTGTAAAGTTTAAAGATGATGATGATCGGGGCGATGATACACCCGGTTTAAAAAAGATCTTAAAGTTCCATCATCATAAACTGGAGTAAATTTCCATCGTCATAAACTATCATGGACCCTGATGATGACCGGGGAGGCAACTGAAGGTGGCTACAACGGTGGTGGTCATAGATGGTTGGTGGCAATCAAGCGAGCTTGCTTGCAATGTAAACTATTCTTGCTCAAAATTGTGCTAGTTTGATCTACCTCAAAAATGAACTAGAATAGTTTACACTATATTTACTTTGCTTTGCCTTTACATTTTTTTGAGCCAATCAAACACCAAAATTTTCAAAACACCGACTTTTGAAATATTTTACACCCTTGTTTAATCCAACCGAACAGCTCCATAGTCAAAAAGAGGTTGTTGACCTAACCTGAATGAAGGGTCTTTTTAGGCCACCATAAACCGTGTCATCCAAGGAAATCTTATAAACTTGGAGTGGTTGTTTGTCTCAAAAGACAATTTTAAGTTGATCATAACTAATAGAAAGCTTTATGTCATACCAAGTGTATCTTATGATTCATAAATTAAGAATTTTTTTTAATCTATTCGAGAACTTATGCACTCTAACCTTAATCTTAATTTAATAGTGCCATATTAAAAATCATATAATGATGAAGCTTTTGAACAAAAATAATCACAGCCAAATAATGCTTCTCAATTTACAGATATCTCTTTTTCCCCTCCTAAAATCTGGTTACCGTAATAAAGGAACTTTTATTTGGTCCAGTCACAGGACGTAGCTCTACGTTCGGCCGCCAGTAGAATCGCGCCACGCATTCTCATTATTTACCGCGCGCCCCGACAACCCGACCCGGAACGGACCCAGGATGGCTCGGTATTTCTCGATTTTGCTAGGTATTGCTCAGTATTGCTAGGTATTGGTCGATTTTGCTCGGCAATAACCAATACCGAGCAAATACCGAGCAATACCGAGTTTTTCTAGAAAAACTCGATACAACTCGGTATTGCTCGATATTGGTCTTCACAGAGCGGTATTTCTCGTTATTGCCAAGCAATACCTAGCAATATCGAGCAATACCAAGCAAATACCGAGTAATACCTCACAATACGCAAACATAGCATTCCCGGGTTCAGGTCCGGGTCAAGTCGTCGGGCCGCGTGGTAAAGAGTAAGAGCACATGGTGACATGTTATTGATGACCGAACGTAGCTCTACGTCCGGTCAGAGAACGTAGTAATTGTTCGTAATAAAGAGCGTTCACTTTATCTTCCTCTTTATTTTATGTCAATAATGCTCTGAAGAAATCATCTAATACTATTACATACAAATAAAAGGCGTCCCCAAATCAATGCTATAAGGATGGGCACACTTAACAAATATTTCTTAATATTCATTAATCCATTTGAAAGGAGCATTCTTTTTTATCATCTTCATTCTATTCAATCTTATTGCCTTTTAGAGTATATGCAGAGGTCAACACATACCAAGAGGAGAATAAATTTTATAATCGACGCATGCAAACAATGATCATGTCACTTAGGAGTGTCAATTCAAGTCAATGGATTGGATGTGTCTGAAGTTGACTCAACTCAAATATATTTGACTCAAGACCCGACTCGATCAAACTCGACCTGGCTAACACATTCATGTATAAATGCAATTTTTGTGTATCAACATTGACCCAACTAATAGAACATGTCATTATAAATAAAAAAGATCAAACAGAACACAAGAAAAAATATATAAAAATTTTCAATCTAATTTTTGGGATTGAATAATATTGCAAGCGAACTGCACTAAATAATATACTAACAATCAGCTTTCCTTACAAGCCTTTACAAATGACGCAGTGTACCTTTTTTCATAGAGGGGTGAAAAAGCCACTGGTGCTTATATAAGCGTTTATAGTCTAATTGCTCTGAAGGAAAAGTATCTGATAGTGCTCTCATCAGCAATCTAATCATACAAACCTTCCTGCTCCCAGACAAGCACAAGGAAGTTTACCATCTCCTGCAAGTTGAGGAGCTTATAATACAGAAAGAAGCAAGAGCAGGACTATAGAGTTTTGTTTGTTCATTAGATATGATAAAACTTACAGGGAGCGAAATAGGATGCGCAAAGGGCTTGTTTGATCCTAGCAAACTGTCATATGTTGCATTCCAACTGTATAAAGAACAAACAAACAGGTGATACAAGAAGAGCAGGAGTATGGTTCATGGAGTTTAGCTTCCAAATTTATGGTTCAAATTGACAAATATAATAACAATAAAAAGGAATGGGTGGAGCACAATCAGACTGGTTATACATTATAATGATATTGCTACGGGGTTGTTTGGTAGCACTCAAGATTTGATTTAAGTAGGATTTTGTAAATCCTCTAAATCCGGATTTCGGAAATCCTAAGGGGCCTAAATCCTGAAAATTGTTTGGTAACATTCATGATAAATCATATTAAATCTTGTGTGACTGTTGGGCTATAGAGCGGATTTAACGATCGGACTCTTTCTCTCGAGCCAATGGATTTCGTAAATCCGGAAAAAAAACAGGATTTCGAAAATCCAGGATTTAGCACGGAAAGGCGGAATTTTCCGTCTACGGTGGCTTTCATTTACCGTGAGATTTGGTTTTGCATTTTAGGGCGTTTGGCTGGATTTCGCTCAAATCCGGCCTAAATCCTGCTACCAAACAGCCCCTGCATGTGATGAAAGTCAGTTGGATTTATGATGCTGCTAACATATTAATGGGTGAAATAATTCAATTGTAAATAGTTAAAACAAGAAGAAATTAGCGACCTTTCTGACACATTTGTTTTCATTCAGAAAAGGCACATTTATCCCAAGCTTCAACTATTTGTGGTTATAATGGTCAACTAACACAGGCAATAATGTTTCAACATGTTCTTCATAGGAGGAATATAGACATACCTTAATCTTGGATCAATAACCTGCTCCGTTTTTTTGTGGTCCTTTTTATCCCCAATCCACTGCTGCCTAGTTTGGTTCCATAGAATAAGGCCTGTGGTTCACAATAAGTATTTCATGCACACTGCTTAAATTAAATTTTATCTATATAAAATTCTACATGCTGGAAACATCCAGGATGTCAATAGTTGTGTATGTTGGTGATATTAGAAAAATGAAGTAATGACCATAATCATCATTGTTTGACCTTCTTATTGAATATTTCTCTGCCATTTTTTCAGCTCTTAAAGACAATATATTACATAAAACTGAGAATCAAAGCAAAATACACAAACTAGCATTGCAAAAACAAAGCACACAAAAGAAAACGAATCTAGCTTTTCCTTCAGATCAAAATTTTAAACTAATTCTGTTATTTTATTCAATCTTTAAATACAATACCAAAGATTTTTAAGTTTTAGCATTAAAAAAATAAAAAAAAAATAAAAAATAAAAAAAAATTAAAAAAAAAAAGTTTTGGCATTGTTTCTGAACTTTTTCAACCACATCTCATAGCTTTCTAATTAATTACGCACTTATTATATTATTTTCTTCAATCTTTGCATACAATGCCATAGAAATTTTCGAGTTTTGGCATTGTTTCTGAACCTTTACATGCATCATAATCAATTTCAGCATCAACAGGAAATGTCTCATTGAAAATAGGCAGATGGATTTGAAGATGCATAAGTAACAAACCATGATTCACAAACTCGGGTGTATTGGTTGAGCTTCCTGCTCCACTATAAGGATCAAAAGCTCGAGCCGATGCACTGATTGAAGAGATGCTTCTTTGAGACTGAACTCCACTATTCTCCATTTCATATGTGCTTGTACTCCAAAAGTCGTCTGATATACTAGGTTTTCTGACAGACTGACCTTGAATTCTTAGACCCTTTGAAGGCTCATCCACTGCTGTTATTGGAGTTGGTTTAGTATAGCATCCAAGACAGCTTCTGCTCTGTTGCAAATCAGGATAAACCGACTAATGGATTAGTATTACATTTCAATTCCAGTCGTGTAAGTGGAATTATTAGCTATGGTCATCATTATAAACCTTATCAAACCAATTGAGATCGGTTTCACAAACGATAGCACAGCAAAACCATTTTTGCAAGCTAAAAGGATAGGTCTACGTGGTTTTCTACTTGGTTCATAAGACTTCTTCCAAAGAAATAGTTTGAAAAAACCAGTAGCATTAGCGTGCCAAAACGAAATCTTAAGACTTCAAAACTAAATGTTAAAGAGGCATTTCTTGGACATGCCCAAACGCAAAGAGTTCAGGCAACCATGAAATATAAAGAAATCAATATTTCAAGGATGTTATTTCTTCCGTCAAACAAAGTATGAGGGAATAAAAGTACGTGCTGACAGATACGGGAAAAAAACAAAGGACCAAGGAGCAATTCAACTTCCCTTATGCTCCAATACTTTCAACTGTAAGAACGGATTAAGTTTTTCTCTCTACCAGAGCATCAAAAAGTGATGAAAAACAAGTTTTAAGAACATATATAAACAATACAAATGATACAATAAGTTATTAAGATGATTTGACATCATTTGTTGCACGCAATTGTTGAGGCACGATAATGCTCTAATTTTGCCTCCCAGAAAATTACAGGAAGGCAAGAGTTAAAACTGATAACAAAGTTTATCTATCACAAATTGTGAATGTTAAATGAAGAACAAAATTGAATGTGTCAAGTTATTCCAAATAAGTGTTAAGTTATTAATTAACAACGTTCAATGCAGCCATACTTCAGTCATATTTCCTTTTAGTTATAATTGACAAGACTGCAAAATAATTGAAAATTTTGAACAATGAGAAGTTTAGAGGACTTGGAATTAATAGAATAAAGCTGAGTATATGCTATATAATTTTAGTGAGTGTGAAACTAATGCAATCAAAAATTTGGGAGAGGGACCCAAATTTTTTATCACAAAAACAAGACTCAAAGAAAGACTCAAAAGACTCAACCTAAAAAACTTAGATTCACAAGATTGACAAAACTTATAATAAGACTTGACTTGACAAACCAAAACAAGATTTGACAAACCAACCTAGGACTTCCTAACTTGCTCTAATACTAAATTAATGCAATCAAAAAATTTGGGAGAGGACCCCAAATCTTTTATCACAAAAACAAACTCTTTCTAGGATGATAGAAAGACAGAAAATACTTAAAAGAACACAAATACTATAAAACACAACTTTATATAATAAAACGACTTACAAACAATGACTCTTACAAACTTGACTCAAACATGACACCCTAAACTTGCTTTCAAAAAGAAGAAGGATACAGGTGGGGTGGTCACTTGCGGAGAGACGAAAGAGGTTAGAAGCCGAGAAGAAGAGTGGAAAGAGCTCGCAAGATTTCCTGGGAAGATGAGAAGGAGAATGGAACAAGCTCGCAAGCTTTTCCAATAAAACCCGCAGGTTTACATTTCCAAAAATCAATCACATAACATATCTTAAACATACACAAAACATCTCTATATATAGGCATGAGAGGGGAATACAAATAGCCACAACATTAATTTAAAAGCTTATTTAAATAGGGAATATGAAAAGCCAACAGTCAACTCCAAAAACAAAGCACCAAAGCCACGGAAAAGCCCCCCAAAAGCCACGGGAAAGCAGCCTAGGCGGAACCCGAAGAGGCAGCCGCAAAAGCCAAGGAGGCCCGCACGGAACCGAAGCACCAAGGCACGGGAAAGGCCACCCAGCACGAAAAACCAGCAGATAGCCTTGGGAACCAAGGAGCCAAGGCACGGGAACCAAAGGGCCATCCACGGGAACCAAGGAGCCATCCACGGGAACCAAAGGGACAACAAATGGGGGAATGAACCTCAATTTATGAGCTAAAAAGGCTCTCTACTAGACATTAATGAGCTGATATCTAGTAGAGGAAAGCATTTATGAGCTTGAAACACAAGAAGATGCTCATTAATGAGCTGATTCAAGTAGAACTTACAAAATTTTCAACTCAACTTGTTTTGACCCATTCCTTGCCTACATCAGATACTAATAATTAGTGGCCAACATAGCAAGAAGATAACTAATATCAAGGTTTAGATGAGCATCTTAGATTAATATAAGAAACATGAGGATATAGATGAGGACAAAACTTCAAAAGCTGAAAATATGCAATCAAAATGAAGAAGTGCAACATGACGACTATGAGATAAAGAATATCATAGAAATATAAAGGTAAATTTATAAAATTAAAATTAGAGTATATTGAATATATTTGAATATTAGGTGATGAAAAAATCATTAATAATCACATTGATCTGACAAAAATGAGGATGTTTATCTGGATGTATGATAAAACTATAAAGAATTGATTCAAGGATTATTATATTAGAGGGATGACCGAGTAATATCTATTAAAGATAAAAAGTGAAAAATAGACGTTACTGTTTATTTGGGTTATTTGGGCATGTATATCAAATGACAAAAGATGCGCCATTAAAACAAGCATAAAAAGTGATAAATGAAAATATTATTGATAGAAGTTATGCAAAAAGATTTGCACAAAATATTTCTAATACCTCATGCAATGCTCATCACAAGCTAATGAAGAACAATTATTCATAAGATCTATCCAAATAGTTGGGGTTGTGCTAGTTATATTTCCTTTCCAATACCTAAGTGGTGTTTTTATGTGTATATGAGGTTCGTAATCAAAATCATTTGGTTGCATCAACTTAGTGATGATTGGTTGCTTCGGTATAAATTTTAAAATCATTCCAAAATTTACTTAACAAATATATTATGATTTGACCATCATCTTTAGATATAGGTATCCAATTATTCATCAAAAATAACATAAAAATGCATAATCCTTATATATATGACAAGCGCTAATAATAATACTATTAGTTAGATTGAAGGGGAAAAGCTCAATAAAAAACTTATAATTTTTTATTTTTCTCATTTATAAAGGTAAATTTTTTTATCAATCAGCTATCCATTATTCAAATATAATTAGCAGAAACTCAAATAGTTGAGATGAAAACATAACTAGTATAAGGGTTATTGGGTAAATGGTACAAATAATATAATTTGTAAGACTTGATGTATGTGTGGATAACATATAGCAAACTAAGCTTTTTTGTTCATACTTGTTTAAGTTTATTACTAATGATGAAATGTTCTTTAGTTAACATCTAACGTGGTGTAAGATACGGAGAAAATTTATTTACATAAATATATTACCTTTTTCATAATCTTTAACTTCTATTATCCCATATAAAGTTTTTCTAATTTAATAAAGGATAAAATTAGGATTTTGAATTTGGCTTGCAAATCGAAGATCACTCAAAAATTGAATACAATTTTGGCTCAAATAGAGCTCAAATCAAAGTCGAAGTGCTTACTAACGAGTCAAACCCAACTCAAATCGATCAAGCTAATAGGAGATAAAATGGAAATGTATATGAATGTATATATACAAATTCATATTCTATAAACATATGAATTTATATATTTATGAGTGTATATGCAACAACAATAACAACAACAACAACAAGCTTTTGTACCACTATGTGGGGTCGGCTACATGAATTCTTTTTCACCATTTTGTTTTGTTAAAAGTCAAATTCTCATTTAAATCTAATAAAAAAAAGATCATTTATAATATTTTCAAAACAAGTCTTTTTAGGTCTACCTCTACCTTTGTTAACATAAGTCAAATCTAACACCTCAACTTTCCTAACCGGGTCATCGGAAGGCCTCCGTTTAATGTGACCAAACCATCTAAGGCGACTCTCTCTAATCTTATCTTCCACTGGAGCTACTCCAACCTTTTCACGTATATGCTCATTTCGTATCCTATCTCTAAGGGTAAAGCCACCTATCCACCTAAGCATCGTCATCTCTGGAACACTTAACTTAGTATTATGCTTCTCTTTTTATGAGCATATATGCATGCTGGAATAATAAATTGTATGAGGAGATTGAAAATTGACAAGGATCCGATCAACTTTTAGCTCAACGCAACTCGAATCAAAGTTGGCAGGACATTCCTGGCATAAATAAGAACAAATTAAACCAACCTCTAACAAAATTGGATTCGACAAGTAATCGAATTAATGAATTTGTGTCAATCTTGAATAGGGTCAAATTGGCTCAAGGTTGAATAGTTAATCACCTAAATAAAATCAAATCAAGCTAACTACATGTGTCAAAAAGTACTGAAAAGTGTATTTACTCATGAATTTTTTAAGACAAAAAAAGTATTATTCTTCATTTATATCAATTAATTAAAATATATAAACATTTTAATGACTTTTAAACTTTTAAACATGCACAATATTATACTTAAATTTTATCTTAAGTCTCAAGAAATTTTTTTTTCTTAATTGCCATAAGAATTCTTAGGATTTACTTTACTTGAATTAGGATTTTGGATTTATAACATTTACTTTATATGAAATAATCCTTTTGGATAATTTTACTTTCTTTGGATATGTTAGGTTTGCTTTCAAAATATATCATATGATTCAATCCCATTTTAAGAAATAGTAAGGAATCAATCAATTGAATAAGATCTTTTCCATTCGGCTCCTCTCTCTTCCCTTTTCTCTCCATGTTCCTCTTCTCCCTCTTGCTATATCTTACCTCCTTTTATTCTCTCATCTCTCTCCATGTGAGTCCCTCTTATAGTAAAATTTCATTCTCCCTCTTCCTTCCATTACAACCATTCTATATCAATTTTGGTATAAAAGCAAACCTCGATTCTTCTTTCATCAACTTCTAGTCATGCGCCCATCTACTAAATTATGCTTGACTTGGTGTAAAACCTTCTAATGACTCCAGCATTTCTGTACCGTAGTAACTCACTCTTCCTAGCCACTTAGTAATTCAAGAAATCACCTTCACTTGCACTCCGCTTATTAAAACAACATCAAATTCCACATATTCCTCTATGACCCGATCTCTGTCGATAGCTTCGAACTCACCCACTTTGACTTATGTAGTTACACCTCCCTCAAAACCTATTGCAAAGATTTCCTCCGCATCCTCAGGTCCATCCACATTGACTAATGTTTCTTTGTTGGCCATTACAACTCTTCCTTCCATAAATTGCATCCTCGTCACCCACATGCCCTCCATGTCATGCAACTCACATCCATGAAAAGTTCCGCATCATATTACCTCGCCCGCTTGTGTCCATAGGTTCATTGTCACTTCGGTTGCAAACCAATGCGATTCATATGCGATCCGCCTGCATGGTCCCCCTCATATGTGATCTTCACATCATTCTCAGTTTCAAATCTAATTGCACACACTTCACACGCCAATATTTCACCCGCTACTGTATCTCAAACCTGTATCTTTGCAAAACACAATGATAAACCCAAATCAAAAAAGAAAATGTGCCAGCTTCATTCAATTAGCTAAAAATTGAGTCATGTCTTATTAGTCTAGTACTATGCAATGAAGGCCACTAAACTTTTAGAGATATCTTTTCAAAATTTTAATATTTTTTATGCGTATGTATGACAAATGACATATACTAATATTACTATTGATAGAAAATGGTAACAAACCCAAAAGAAGAGTGGGAGGGATTTTTGGCTAATCAAGCAAGGAAGGAGAGAGAGAGGGCACTTGCAATAGCAAGAAAAATTATACTTCAACTTTAGTGATTTTCAATATACAATAACGGCCTTCATATTGTGTAGAAAGGGGGAATTTTTATCACATGTTCCGGATTCTCTATGCTTTCTATGCAAGCTAAATGAAATGAAAATACAAAAATAAAAGAAAACTCACATGCATAAGACATAAAAACTAAACACGAGGATAAGTTGTCAATTCAAATGATTGGAGAACCTGCTAAAATCAAGTCGGATTTCAGTGTGGATAGATCCATCTTAGAATGCATCATTAGTACAACGCCAACTCATCTAGGTTGAAAGAAACGCTTCTCTAAAGTTTTGAAAGGTGTCACCCATGTTGGTGGTGGATGAACTGGTTCGTGATCATCTCATAAGTTAGCCATAGAAATAAGACACATATATATAACAATCCTGAGGCCACAGCTCTTGATATCACCATTCCATCATACCATGGTATCTGATTATCAACTTATGCAAAGATCATATGATAGTTTGGCAATGGTAGTAACGGTGCAAAGAACTCAACTTGCAACATAGATTTAAGTAGCAACACTAGGAACTAAGAAACATTTAGTATCTTCATATCAAGGTGTAGAGGAACAATTTCAACATGTGAGTCATGCTCAATCACTTCATGTTCCCAAAAATTGTATAAAAGGTCGGGCGAATAAGATTTGAGAGCCCTCTGGTTCCGCAAAGAGAAAAAAAGTTACAAAAGCATCCAATCCAACCAAGCGATCAGAAATACGTATAGTCTTTTCATAAACGATCCTCCTCCTAAAATGCAACTAACATGACTTGGATTCATCACCAAGCACATAAATAACACCAAAAAGAAATTGTCATAGTCCAAAATCTTCAGGAAATACATAGCATAAAGTTAAAGAATCGAGATACATACCCCATGCAGGAGAAGACCTGGCCGATCCAAGCAGAGAGAGATCTGCAGAATATCATCGAGGTGACAACCCCAGATCCACCATCAACAACCCGAGAACCGCCCGTCGACGACGATTCAGAGAAAATAAGAGATTGTACTTCCTGAGCCCTAGAATCGATCTTAAAATACGAAAAGATAGGAAAGTGAAGTATATCCCAGGTACATCAGGCGAAATTTTCATGAGATTGCGGAATCGACGAGGGAGGACCTAAAAATAAAAAACTGGCAATCTGAGTAAATTCAAACCAACCCCAGCCACCACAAGAGGGACTGAGGGAACCCTGCTTCCGGCCTTCGGTGGCGCTTCGATCACTTATAGTAAAGTTTAATTTGATCTTGACGGCAGCGCTGAGCGCTACCTGATTAAGGAGTTCTTTTTCATCTTCCTTGGCTTTTTATCCAAAACGGTAAACTGCTGCAGTGCTGCTTACATTGTTCTAGACTGTTACACTTTGGCTCTTTTCTAAAACTAAATAAATAAAATATTTAATTAACTACTAAAATTATTCAATTTATATATGTAATATATAAATTTTAGTATTAAATTTTACTATTCATAAAATTTACTCCTACTAAAATTATGAAACCCGCAACAATGAAGAAGAGTTAAGAAAGACCTATCGAGGTCTCATTGTTGAAAATTGACAATAATGGGATTAGCAGCGTGTGAAAGCTAACAATCGATGACGAGTGTTAGCGTCTGAAGGCTGAATTTGAACAACGACGAAGATGCGTAGAAGAAGAAATGGGATCTCACTGGGAATGGGGAGATAGTTTGTGAAGGATAACCCTTTATAAGGAAGAATAAGTTAGAAAGTTGTGACAAGATTTTTTAAGGAAGGATATAGATAGGGTTGACAGTGTGAGGAGGAGAAGCCCTATGAAGAAAATAATGTTGATGGTAGGTAATGTGATGTTTTTTATGTAATTTAAAGTTTTAAGCATTATATTAATAAATATTGAATTTTGAGTGTTAAATATGTAAATAAAATAGTCTTAAGTGGTATATATGTAAATACTCAAAGAAATAAAATTTAGGGGTGTTTTGTTGCAAATACTAGGATTTAAAAGTTAAAATGCTCATGTATTATATTTTATTTTTTCAATTCTTTATTGCAATATGAATTTTTTCCGCTCGAGCTCTTTCAGCGCGTGAGTCCGTCTCCCACGACCGCCTCCTGTCCGTAAGAGATATAACAATATTTCTAAGCATTACTATGCAATTTTGTTTATGAGCCATAAACTGAAAAATTAGTCTAATTGTGACCAGATCAAGCTGACTAAGGCTTCGTTTGGGACGGCTTTTTCATTACTTTCTAAAACGGAGTTTTAGTACAAATTTTTTTATTTTTGTACTAAAACTCCGTTTTAGAAAGCAATAAAAAAGCCGTCCCAAACGAAGCCTAACTTTTTAATAGCATCAAATCAAATTAAATAGCATAGCTAAATATAACAGGTATTTTAAGAATTTATTTAATAGTTTTTATAATTATCACTTAAATAGTGAAAATTTATGAAAATTATCAAAGAATTTTGAAAAAAAAATTCAAAATATTTGATGATGTAGAATGTTTACCCTATGAATTGGAAATTTTAAATTAAGCCGCCATTAATTTAAATTAATTGACTTTTAAATTTTTCATAATATTTTGAAACGGCTTTCTTACTGCTTCCTAAAGCAGCTTTCTGATACAAAAATTAAAGCTGATATGACAATTTTTTTAGAAAGCAATAGGAAGCCGTCCCAAACAAAGCCTTAGGTGGTTGTAAAGCTGCTATGACAACTTTTTTTTTTTTTTGAAAATTGCTTTTAATACAACAATTTTTTTTTTTATGAAAAATTAGAATATTATCTTTCTTACAACTACTATTCTCTAACAAATATGACCATAAGAATTAGGACAATATAACTGTTGTGGGCAAGAATATACGCGATGATAGAGTCAGAAAGTATTCGTCTTAGCGTTGTACGGATATTCAGCACACAAACAGAAGATTAAAGAATACCAAAATTTTTACGTGGAAAATCCTAAAAGGGGAAAAATCACAAGGTCATGCCCAGTTAAAAAAGTTCCACTAGTGTTTGCTTGAAATACAAGAGACCGACTCGTCCTTAAAATTTAGGATGATCAAATTACAATAATCACTTATGGATTGAAAATCAGTTACAACTTCGGGCAGAGTTCCGATGTCAGTTGGAGATCAGAAGGAATTTCGGCATCCCTTGGGCAGAATTCCGGCATCACTTGAGCGTCGGGCAAAATTCCAATGTCACTTGGGCGTTGAACATAATTCCGGCGTCACTCAGGCGTTGAACAGAATTCTGGCGTCAGGCAGAATTCCGGCGGTGGTCGTGAAGGAGTTTCTTCCCTCCAATCCTTCTCTTCTTCTTCTTCTTTCTTGGGTCCCTTTTCAAGAGAAATGAGGGTCTATATATAAATATTCTGGAGTGGCATGACCTGTAAATAGATGAGAGATCAGGGGTAAATGGGGAGTGGTTGGATGAACAACCAATATTGTTGATCGTGTACCGTTCGTCAGACATTTGAAAGCCTTAATGATGTCGGAATTTGATGATCTTGGACTCGTTGTATTCATCTTGTCGAGCCGCTCGATTCGATTAATAAGCAAGTCATGTTTCAAAATCGTTTGGTAACTCAAATTGTGGTTCGAACTTTCTAATAGCGCTTCAGGTCCTTGATTTGGACTCTTTTTGGGCTCGGATTGAGTCGAATTTGGTGTCGTTGGGTTCGTATTTCTGAGTCGCTTAGTTTGATTGTAAGTTCGCTCAAATTGGAGTTCAAGTGATCCCAGATTTAATTTTTGAAGTTTTCGGCTTGATTTTGCCTCAAAATTCATGCCCGATCAAGATAATTTTTTTATGATATATCAATAACATTATCTGGAAAAACAAAAAACAATAGCACATAAAAATATGATAGTATTATGAAAAGCAAAATAACAAAAAAGCTGTCTCAAAACAACCTGCACTTTTGCGGCCCACATGTGAAAACTATGTAATAAGTGGACCGGCCTTGGGTTCACATTTAAGTATGGCCCATGTAAAACTGTGTGGGCCTATGGATCCAGTCTTACAAAGCGTGTGCTCGGAACTTTGACGGATATAGGAATAATTCAACCTAAATGGTCACCAACTACTCTCTCAAAAGTCAAAATGTTAGCCTGAATAGCCTCTCAAGAATGTTGACCTGATCAATTGATTCCGAGCAGTGGCTCCATTTAATGTCATAATTATGATTGATACAAGTTAATTATTTGTTAATTCAAATTAGATTAGGAATTCATTTGAGATAATTTTTTTATCTACACTTGTTGCTTTAAGATTAAAATCATAATTTTTATATAATTACTATTTTTTACTACTTTCAATATATTTTCATACTAATGAGGCTGATTTTCATAGCAGCTTAAAAAAAATTATTTTCCCCACAACAATTTTACAATCACCTTTATCAAAAGCTTTAGCCTCCCCAAACAGGAGAAATTATTACGTGCGAGTCCGGATACGTCCGGACTCCAATAAAAACACGTCACCTATGATTATACACAATGTGTAGAATTGTACACACTATGCACAAATTGTAAAAATAGGTACTTAGTAGTGTGCACAAACTTATATACATAATATACACACTATGTACACAATTGTAAAGTGTATACAAATTTATACACACTGTGTACAAGAACACGTGCCACATTTTTATTAAAGTCCGGACGTAACTCTACGTACAGACTCCGCACGTAATAATTTCTCCCCAAACAGACCCCTCTACGAATAATGCCACTAGCAAATTCAAGGAACAAGTCCAAAGTTTTAGCAGGCCGGTAAATTGCAAAATAAAAAAAAAAGCATAAAATATTAAATTTTATTTGCGACAATTTTCTTACTGCTTTGCCCTTCAGACCGCAACAATAATTGTTATTTGACTATTATTTAAAAAAAAAAATTATACTAAAAAACCACTTTCTACAACTTCAAAAAATTAATTTCTCTACAACATCTTTACAAAATAGTAAACAAATTGTATTAAAAAAAAAACCTTAATTTCTTATATACTAAATATTATTTAGACTTTTACTCTCAAGGGAAGGAATCCTCACCAACCTATGTGATGAAGGAGAAATTCTTCATGATCAGACTTTCTATAATAGACATGAGAGAGCCTCAGAAGTTCTTCACGAGAAGCTTTCCCACAAGTTGCTTGATTGTGTGTATGAAAACGCAATTATAATTGTGTGATATGGATACCACACTCGATTGATGTGACAGTTCTTTTCCCCCAACAAAAACAAAATAATTTTGTAATAATACTAACAGAACCTTCACCAGAATGATTATAATATATGCATAATATATTACCTTTATATAGAAAAGCTCCTTTTGTAACCAGAACAGTTTCCTGACCTATATGGAACTTTAAATTTTCCTGCTTCCACTGTCAAAACCTGAAAATTCTCTCTAGTTCACTGAGAATTATTCTGTTTGAACGCCGGACAGATAACTGTCCGGTTTTCTCTCAGTCTATAATAAAAACGCAATGAGCCGCGCTTTTATTGTAGACAGAGAAAACACTGGATGATTTTCCAATCCGGTGTCTGCACTGAATAATTCATCCTAATTCACTACTGTGTTTTTGTTAATTGAAATATACCTTTTTTACCTTTTCCTCCATAAATCTGCTCTATCCTCTACATCTTTCACACATATGGTCTCCCATTCCTCCAATCTTCTGCACCATATTAGAGCATCTCCAACCCAAAATTTTATTTTTCACTCCAAAATGCAGTGAAACTAAAAAATGTGGTGATTCATCTCCAATCGAACTCCATTTTGCACGCTTTGGCGAAGGTAACCGTCTTTCTCCTCTTCTTTCGAGCGTTTCTTCGGCAAATCCGGTTGAGACAGAAAAATCGCGTAGGTGAACAGTTCAACGCCAATATTAGCGTCGTACTATTCACCCGCAAGCAAATAGCGGAAGATTTGACGTTCAGCTACAGCGTCCAAACAACGTTATACACATATTTGGCATTCATTTGGAGATGCTCTTATATAAAAGAATGCATGAAACAGCATCAAATGCCTAGTTTCAAAGGGAAAATCCTATGTCAATCTTAACATTTCCTTTTTCTAGCACCATCAATCATCACATGTTTTCTAGCAGATCAACCAAGATGAAGTAGCAATACAAATATCTTAAGATTAAAAAATAAAATAGCATCTGATGCACTGCAACACAGTCATCCATTAAGAATAAGTACAACAGCTTAAGTACAATATAACTATAATGGCTCGGCAATGAACATAGCAATCGATGTTGAAAATACATCCGGAAATATGGAACAACAAAAGTTAACATCAACACACAAAGGCACAAAAATGAAGCACAGGACAAAATAAAGTGGGGCAAAAGGGAAGAGAGGAAGATTGTTACACATGTGGATAGTAGAATCCGGCAGGCGGTGGCATCATCGGCATCCCATATTGCATAGCTGGGTTGGGGTAGTAGTAGCCATTGTTGAGCTTAGAAAGACTAGCCTGGCCCTGCATTCCATCCTTTGCATATTGCTGCCACAGCTGCTGCTCCTGCAGCAGTAGCCGCTGCTTCTTCTCAATTTCATCCATCTGCACATAGGATGGAGGAGGGATGCAGAGTGAGGCGGCAAAGGGGTCTCCTCCGATGTTCTCAACGGTGCCGTCGGGTGCTGGCAAGGCCAGGACCTGTGTAGCAGTTTTCCCCGGCGCCGGGAGAGCCACGCTGCTCGAGCTTCCTGAGTTCGCTTGAGCATTTACATGCTGCTTAACAGCACCCTGGTCGTACATGCCATTGAGAAGGAGAGGGTCAAAGCCTCCTCCCAATGCAGCCTTCTGTTTTGCAAGGTTACTGGCTGTCTCAACCAATGCGAGCTCCCAATCAGCCTTCCCTGGCTCGGCTGCCGGTGTCTGCCAAGCAGAGGTTACTTCACCTTCCCCTGAAGGGAATGCCTCCCATGTCCCATTTGCCGTCCCAGCGCCAGTGGAGAAAAGGGCTAATGCAAGCTTGTTTCCTTGCGCATCAGCTGTCACTGCATCCTCCCTAAGATCAACTAAATCACCTTGAGGCTGAGGCTGGGGCTCCGGTTCTGGTTTGGGCTCCGGCTCTGGTGCAGGTTGCTCCTCATAGTCAGATGGGGCAGGAAGAGCCTTTATGCTGTTCATATCCTGCGCTGGCTCTTCCTCCTGCACTGCAGGCTCTTCCTGCCTTGGTGGGCTTTTTGGCCTCCTTGCCTTGTCCCTCATGAATTCCTCGAGGGTCTCCAGAAGCTTATCTGTTATGCGTTGCACCTCTGGATACTCCGACGACCTGGCCACTCCTGTGTCCTTGCACCATGCGTAAAATGCAGTGAGCTCGTCAATCTGCTTCGCTGCACTAGCATAGGCCTCAAAGGTTTTCACACAGTCGGCATGTTCCATGTCAAAGAAGCGATCCAGCAGCACAGCCAGTATCTCGCAGATGTCGGCATAAAGTTGGAAGCTCTCTCTAACAATTGAGTAGAGCGCAACAAAAACCATCCTGCTGCTTTTAGCCAAGCCCATAGGTCTGCAGGCGAGAAACCGATCGAGCAGCTGCTGCAGTTGGTGCATCCGACCCAACACTTTCTCAGGTTTCATCTCCCGGAGAGGAGTGGCGGGTTTCTTTTCATCACCTTGCCGAGGCGAAGAAAACGAAGTTGAGTTCCTCCCATAGCTGCCCCCGCCATAAGGGTCGGGATCACCATAATCCGAATAGTGGTAGGGGGCCTGTGATCTCCATTGCTGCTGATCGCGTGGGGAGTTGTAGGTTCCGCCATAGGGTACGATAGCGCCAGCGCCACCGCCACCGCCACCGCCACCGGCGGCGGTCTGCTTGCGGTCATAGATGATGCACTCGAGGCGTTGGTCGAGGTAGAGGGCGTAGGTTCGGACGAAGGCGGAGTGGTCCCAAGAGCTGGAGTGGGCCTCATCGCGGAAATCGGACATGTTGAGGAGGCGCGTACCGCGTCGGGTGGCGTAGAGGATCTCGTGGTGAAAGGCCGGATCCCCGTCGGCCAGGAGGCGGTGGACAAGCATGAGAGCCTTAAGGGCAACGATCCAGTCACGGGTCTTACCAAGGCGGCGAGAGACGGTGGCCACGCATGGTCCAACGTATCCGCGGGAGTAGGAGGTGAGGCTGAGGATCTCGCGTATGTACTTCTCATCAGCAGGCTCATCGTCATGACTTGTCGCCTTCACGATAGCCACATCGAGGTCGGGGGCGATGTTACTCGACACCTTAGCAAGGCCGATGCTCGTCTGGTCCTTCACCGCACCGATCGCCTTCCGGATCGTACTCGGCGCCATTCTTCTCTCTTCCTACCTCAACCCCCTTCTTCCTTCCTCTTCTCTATCCACCTAAGAAGTGGTTTATAGCCAAGATTAAAATGGAACGAAATCTATTGCCTTTCAAAACAGTACAAATAAGCAATCACGTCTTTCGAGGCTCAGGATTGATTGATACCCCAAAACAAACAAGGGGATTACTGCTATAAACCCGACCTTCACGAAACGGAGCTACTATTACCTGAGCCACTCCGCAGGCGATCCACTTCCAAGCCGTCCAAAAGATCTTCGATTTTTCCCAAAAAAAAAAAAAGATCTTCGATCTCCTCTTCAGCGACTCCGGTTCGCGGGATCTGCGCGGTATCACAGCAGAAACCTCAGATCTGGCTCAGCCTCCAATCGGCTCTGACCAAATCAAGGTCAGCCCGGCGAGATCCAAACGACAGCCGGAAAAACAGAAGGATCCCGAGAAAAAGAGGTGAGGATCTATTCCGGAAACGTCGGAAGAGCAAAGATCAACGATGGATGTTCGGATGAGATAGCCAGATTTCAGACTGGTATTTCTGTCTCTTCTGCGACACCTCCTCGTCTCTTTCTCTCTCTCTCCTCTGGTGCCGCACCAAGCTTCTGGTTCTTCTTGCTTTTACCAGCTGCGATATCGCGCTCACGCGATTCAGAAACTATTTAGGTCGAGAAAGTACTGGATGTGAATAGGAGGTGGACATAATACGTTTTTCTTTATAAATTATTAAATTATTTATTTATTTATTTATTTATTTCAACGCGATTAGGGTTAGTACTGATAAGTGGCGGAGAGGATACGGCAAAAATGCCATAAATAAATTGTTCTATTTTTATTTTTGTCGCCGGATCATATCCCCATTAACTATCCTTCTCGAAGTTTTTTAATAAAGAAAAAAGAAGTCGGAATATTATGACTCAGTTTTAATTAAAAGAAATTTAAATTTTTATGTAAAATATTTAATAAAATTATTTAATTTAATTTCAATAAAATGATTAAAAATAACCGCTATCTTTTATAAAAGGACTAAATAATTTCTAATTACTTAGCGTCATCCGGTTCGACCCCGGTTAGACCGGTCGAATCGTGAGCCTCTTCTAGTTCCATTTCGTTGTCCGGTCCGATTTTCAAAACCTTGGAAAAAACCGTCCCAAACTAAGTCTAATTCTTTGTAAAAGTTAAAAGATTAATTTGAACCTTTTCTCTTCCCAATTTCGAATCTTTTCTCTTGTTATTCATAATGAGAAATATTATTGTAAAATATATAGTAAAAAATAAAATATCAAAATATTTACTCATATAATAAAAATTAATATTTAAATAAAAATTCGGGTTACATATCTTAATAATAAATTATTAATTAATGGTAAACGTAATTAGATCGCTTGCATTCCTAATAATTGACACGCGAATAAATAATATTGTATTAAATAATGTAAGTAGGTATTTCATGATGGTAACAAGCAGCGATATTCTTTGCTGCCATACGAAGTGTCTTCTTTAGTAATTAATTATTATTTTTGTCATATTTGTTGAGGAAATTGTGCAATAAGAAGTTTTTTTTTTCATAAATTTATTATCCTATGTTAAAAAAATGTTTTTAAGTAATTTTCGAATAGCTTTCTTATTGTCTGTCAAAGTAATTTTTAAATACAAAAAATTAAATTTTTATGCTAAAAAATTATTTTAAGAAATAGTAAAAAAATAGTTTCAGATGAAGCCTAAGCCTATCATCATGATCATAATTTATTATTAGAACATTTTATTGATTTCCATAAAAAAAAAATCAAAAATAAAAGTTGCTGAATAATACTCTTCTAACCATCATAAAACTTCTCTCTTTTATAAAAATAGATAACAATTTCTATTTTAATTATCACACTAATAATTTTGATTATGATAAATGATTTCTCATCATAAAAATTTTCAAAGTCATAAGAAAATCTAGTCAAACATAACTATGACAGCCATCTAAAATTAAGACTTCGTTTGAGATAATTTTTTACTGTTTTTTAAATTAATTTTTTAGTATAAAAATTAAAATTTTTATTCTAAAAAATTGCCTTAAGAAACAATAAGAAAATCATCTCAAACAATTGTTTGTGCTTACATAAGCAATTTTTTAATACACAATCTTTTATAAGCGAAAATTTTTTTTATTAGAAAATTGATTTATAAAGCAATAAGCAAAAATTCCATGATGTAAATTCCATTCCCTTCTTCATAATGAGTTGATCATCCTCTTATCTCCTCTTGAATTATTACGTCCGGTCACCGGAAGTCTGGACATCCAATCCAGACGCGCCACGTCATGCGAATATTCTGGGTCCCGATGGATTTTGATGACGTGACGCATCTGAATTGGTGTTCGGACGAATCGGGATACCGGACCTAATATTTTTCCTTGAGCAGACATAGAAGAACGGCAGTTGGTCAGTTGGCTCCTCATTTTCTTTAGAGTAGGAAGGGGTAGGTTCTCTTCTTTCTACTAAATGTCAAGTTTCTATTTTTCTGGAAAGAAACTCTGATATTTCCTTTTGTTGTTCTTTTTTTAATCAATCAATAGTTTCTTAATTCAGAACTATGATTGATAACTTTGACTGATTTCTTACTATTTTTTAAAACAGTTTTTTAATATAAAAAATTAATTTTTTACTAAAAATTTACTTTATAAAGCAACTAAATTCTTAACAAATCCTATACTTTGAAAAATTAAATAAATTAGGGTATAATGGGATATAATGGTAATGTAATTCACAATAGTTTCAATGATGGTTAGAAATCTGTCGTCAAATGAATGCAAATGTGCGATGATAATCGGTCAATAATTATTAGACGATGATACTTGACCATCGATGATCGTGCGACACGACGACGGTCAAGCAACAGTGGTTAGGCGACAATAGTTCTTGGCTGAGATCGTCGAACAGGACTCTAAAATTTACTTAGATATCTAAACATTATCTAATTTCAGGCCCATTTCATTCAGAGATTATGATTTATTTACAAAATTTTGAAGCGGTCTTTAATAAATTTAAATTATTCGGAATTCAATTATAATTTTTTAATTAAAATAATTTCATTGCTTATTTTTCTAATCATGGAAATTTTGGAAAAAGCAAAGCAGATATTAAAAGAAAAAATAATAATTAAAGCTCAAAAAATAATTAGAGGAACAAATCAATATGAATATTTAAGCTATTAAAATAACCAACCTTTCTCTTTTGCGAATCTTAATAGGCTTATATATTCTCTCAATCTACTTGCAAGATAACTATTGAACTGGCCAACCCTAATATTTAAGAGGACTACAAGTCTACAACATTTTATAGAGTTAGATTGTAAAATTGCTGCAAATAAAACTTCAATATTATAATGATAAAAAACAGTTTTTTCATTATAGAAAATTCTGAAAAAATAATAAAAAATAATAAACAAATAAAAATTATGATTACCAACTGAAAAATAAAACAACCAGAAAATTATCCCAAACAAACTCTAAGTATCTCATTACACCTAACTGTGTTGGGATTGCTTTCTTACTGCTACTTAAAACAATTTTTTTGATATAAAAATTAAAATTTTTGTACTAAAAATTTATTTTAAAAAGCAACAAAAAAACCACCCCAAACGAAGCCTTATTTAAAGCAATAATAAGTTGAATAAGTTGATATCATATGTTATTAGCTTAGTTAGTTCAGCATATTTTGGTATAATTTATATCAAAATATCATGAATATTTTTCCAGCTATGAAGCATGCAATACAAAAATAGGCTTAGAACAAAAACAAATAGTAAGCCAAAAAGAAATAGCATACAAGCCACCTTAGCCTACCCTATTGATCAATGCCATGAGCTTTCAATCAAAAGGTTTTGGATTCAAAGAGTTATATATATACGTTTGAATTGAGCATTAAAACTCATTTGAGACGTCTTTCTTAATGCTTTTTAAAGTTATTTTGTAGCACAAAAATTTTAATTTTTATACTTAAAACACGAAGCCTAAACTTGTTAAAAGAGAAAAAAAAAAAGGCAATCTTTCAACATATTCAATTACAGGGCAAACGAAGAGATTGCTTATAAATAACTATCCAAATAGTAGCAAACGGCAGTCCAGTTGATCCAACAGAAGAAAAATACTTGAAAAGCTACAAATAGCAATTTCAGCAACATATAACAGTTCACCAAGCATCTTTTTAAGCAGCTTTTTCAAAGTTTTTCGCTGTGCAAAGCTCCCGCAGTAATGTTTGACAATTTTATTGTTATTTTCAACAAAAACTTGTGAGGTGAAATAATCTTTTAAAATAAAATATATTAAAAAATAATAGTTATGAAAAAACATCATCCAAAAGAATTACAATGTTCATAATAAATTTCAGAGTACTTTTCTCTCACAATAATTTTATAACAGATTTTTTTTTTTGGAACAGGGTATCTACCGCTACCACTCCAAAGGGAGTGCTCGGCGGCGTAACTAATCCCTCAAAGGAACCTGACGAGGCCACCCACCATCATCGGGCTCACACTTACTTTGCCCCACTGAAGAGGCGAGGTTGCAGTAGAGGGGATTCGAACCCAGGATGGGGGTTCCCGACCGCAATAGAGAGGATTTGAACCTAGAATAGGGGTTCCCAACTGTACTCACCCACCAACCACTCTAAGCCTCGGTGGATATAACAGATCCTTTTAATGCAACAATTGAAATAATGGCAAAGCAAGCAAGAGAAAGCAACAGGCGTGAAAGCTAGCATAGCACAGTGATGGAGCAATAAGCATGCGGACAACACCCAAATAGGACAAAAACAACGAAAAACCAATACAAAGACAAGTGACGAGTAACACAGCAATAAAAGAGGGGAAGTAGTGAAAGTTAAAGGCACACTTTGTTCAGTGAGGAGCTTTAGATCCATGATAGATTGAATTATATCATTTAGATCTCCTTTGCTCTAAAGCTTCACCATCAATGAACGATTTGACAACATTTGTTTCACTCGAACAAAAAAAAGAAATCTTAAATACATCCTTTACTTCATTTCATAGTTCAAACCAAATGCAAATGTGAAATAAATGTATGTTAGTTCTTCCATTATTTGCAGCAAAGCATTTTTCACCCAGTGAAGTTCTAAACTACTCGATTTTGCTAATGACAGTACAAAGGCTTCAGAGTAACTTAGGCTTCGTTTGGGATGGCTTCTTTCTGCTTCTTAAAACAACTTTTTTTACTAAAAAATTGCTTTAAGAAGCAAAAAGAAAGCTATCCCAAAAGAAGCCTTACTCAACATGTATTTTATGTGGAGTATAAACTTGTTGCTAATACAACAGCTTCCTTAGCTTAAGCCATGAAAGCGCCTCAAAGTTAGAACTTTGCATAAAGCTATATCACTCATAAGCAAATTATCAACATGTCACATTCAAATGAGCACTTGATTCACTGGAAACGTCTACTAAAGATCAAAAATAAAAAACAACAAACCTCCAAAAACAGGCAAAGCATGTAATGAAGGATGTTAAAAGACAAATCTATACCTCTTTAACAGTGCTCAGGCTTGAAATAAACATGTAGATTCAGTAACAGGAGAGAAACGCTCGATTCAACAATGACCAAAGGAGAAGGGGTTCGTTTCTCACCGATACAACATAAATGATTCATTCCTTTTTTTTTCACCTCCATTCTGGGTTACATTAGCAGCTAAAACTTTCTAATGGCTACCTGCCCAGCTAAGAAAAAATATCACCAGATAAGGTAAACTATAGATAGAACTTACAAGCTCTTTCCCCAAGTGTGCAGGGAAAGTATATTCGTTGAATTGATCCTCGAGAGATATATGATCAATCCTACTGCTACCAAGTTTTTTGCTCCGCCTTCCTGTGCGTATAAATAAGCTGTAGCATTTGAGTCCGTTCATTTCGACTGCCACCCTCCTACACAGCCCAAATGCCATATCATGCCAAGTTGCAGCCTATCCATTCCTTAGAAATGCTGAACCCAAAGAAGAATTTGAAACTTGATGGTATCAATTGATGACCACAAGCTCTCGCATGCAAAACAGCACCCACATATAATGTATTAAGCCTCATCCAATGTCAGTAATATCTAGTTGTAAATCAATATCTTCCAAATCATGTAGTAATTCTGGATCATATTCATGTGGTACAGAATCTATAAGGGGTAAATCTTCCAATGAAGGCAAGTCAGAAATGTCTTCATCTCCCTGTAAAACACTTTGATCCAAGTAGTCGAACTCCATGACTGGTCTGGTTGATGGCATGAAAGATTTTGCAACCAAACCAGATTCTTCTTGTGAATCCATAGTCCTCGGAATCTTGGATTTTGGTGGTCTCCCTTGGTCAGCAATGGACTTCTGTTTGCCCAGATACTGAGACTTTGAGCCTGATCGAGATCTGTAAGCATTACAAAAAGGAAAAGTAACTGTTGCCCATCCTGGGCATTCACCCTCCAAGCAAGTTTGTGAAGCCTTCCTGCAATTTGGAAAAGTGAGAGATATTAAGTGACCCAAACGATCCAACTAACAGTTGAAAATACTATCAACATAAAATTGGGCCACAGGAAAAAATGGTGAAAGAAATGCTACTAATATGCATCTTTCTATGTATAGATTTCTGCGACATAATCCAAAAAATCTACTCATAAATGCCAAATAACAAAGTAAAAAAATAAAGTCAATTAAGTAAACATAACAAATCGTAATTGCATTTATTATTGGGAACTCAGAACATAGAACTGCAGAAGGTGAGTTCTTCCACATTAATGCTCTTCATATTCCCGAAGATCTTGTGCCATTCTTCTAAACACTTATTACGTACAAAAGTATATTCTGCACAGGCAAAGTCGATGATAAGTGGAGTAGAAAAGGTCCCCTTTGCAAGAATAGTCCCTTGAACAGATAGCCGAAAAAGAAACAATGAAGAGAGGGATCTAAGGGATCTAACTCTGAACATGAAGATTGAGTACCTTCAATTTTTTAAAAGGTGATAGCACAAAGCGGAAGGCACATAACACCAGACAAAACCATGACAAAAGAACCCCGGACAAAGCAGAATGTAAAATTTGAAATGTGAAGGTCAGGAAGGTGCATTACTAGTTTAAGAGTATTTGATGTTTATGAATTAAGGCATATATGAAATAAAAATATAATTAGTTTGAATTATTAAAATATACTAAAATATATCTATATATATATATATATATACATATATAAAATTACATACTATATTTATGGAGAGAGTATGTGTAAATATACGAGAGAAATAGGATACAATTCAATAAATAGAAAGTGCAAGTTAACCATTTCATTGCTTTGGATCATGGAAAACAAAATATCAGAACTACATTAGGAGAACTTTATTGGAACAAAAACTCAAAACAAATAAATATTTCAGTAATTCATCAACTACAGTAGAATTTGATTGGGTTTTAAATAAAAGGCCTAAAATAGTTACGTCTGAAATACATTTTCAAAATTACATGCATAGGTTTTGTTCAAAATATCAAATATAGAAAGCACATGCATTATACATTTAAAATGGATTGCTATGTCCACTAATCAGGCAATTGATTAACAAAGACTTTGAACTAGTATGATTAGCAACCAAACAAACATGAAATTTAATCGTGTATACTATGTTTCAATGGTGGAGATGAAGATCAATAATCTTCATTTCTAATTTGGAAACTGGATTTTATAAGAGGAAAGAGCTAGGAAAAATGAGATTTTCCAACAAATGAGAACAGTGCCACTCAACCTAGAAAAAGTTTGAACATGAAACCTGATTTTGCAAAAAATCTAAGATAAAAAAAGCGAATGGAATGAAAGAATAAACTGCTCAGATACATAGTCAAGTGCCTCCAGACTTAAACAAAATAAATAAATAAATAAAAAGTGCCTCCAGACTAAAGAATGTAAAATACAATACGTTTTTTTAACTAAAACAGCATAGCAGTGTTAGAAATCACAACTAAACTGAACACATTTGACTAACAAAGTAAACAAGTGTCATGATAAATATGCTCAGAAAAACAGTAAAATATATGGTAAATTCTATTCTATTGAGAAAAATGAAACAAGAGGCAATGATGCGATGCATTCAATATATTTGTAATAAAGTACCAAGTTTCTAATCAAAGCGAAGAAAGAAAAGTGAAGTGTATATATATATATATATATATATATATAACCATTTTTTAATAAGCAGTATAATAAATTAAAAAAAATCTTCATCAATCAGAGCTAGTTCTCTGAACTATAATCCCTTCAGGCTGCCTCTCTTTGAAAGATTCTTTCTGTCCTTCTCTTTTCCGCTTCTTAGGCTGATCGATTCTCTCTAGTCTTCTCCTCTCGTTCTTTTTCTATATTTCCAACAACCTTATCTGTTCTTCTCCATCTTCTTCTTCTTCTTCACAATACAAATGGCCTCATCACAAACATCAAGCATCACGACAACAAAATCAAGAATCAATTCATAAACTTCAAATCTTAGTAACAATGATTCTCTCTTATTCCCATTATGTGATACAAATTAAATAGCCATAATTATTTGCAGTGGTTACAATCTGTGTTATTGTTCATTTGTGATAAGGGAAATGATAAGTATCTCATAGGAGCAACAGATATGCTAGAGACTATAAATCCGAGTTTCAGAAAGTGGAAGATTGAAAATAGCAGGATATCATGTCATGGATTATAATTCCATAAATAATGACAGGTGAAAACTTCTTACTGTTTAAAATTGCAAAAGAAATATGGGATATAACCAAAGAGACTTACTCCAGCTCTAAAAATGCTTCAGCGCTTTTTCAGATTGAATCAGTACTTCAAGACTTTCGCCAAGAAGAACAATCTGTTACTCAGTATAACAACACACATGACTAATTTGAAACTCAATCATGGACAAGTCCAAAAGATGTAGTAATGCACAAGTAGATTGTGGAACAAAAAAGACTGATCAAGTTTTTCTTAGGACTTAACAAGGAGTTGGATGATGTTCAGGGTCGAATCATGGGCACTAAAGCACTGTCCAATCTTAGGGAGGTTTTCTTAAAGGTTAGGCATAAAGAAAGTGATAATGCGATCTAGCGAACAACCCGCATCAACATTGGATGCATCTTCCCTTGCTGTCCGATCATATAACAATAATGATGAAGATCATCATAAATGGAAAAGACCTCAGTGTGATTAATGTAAGAAACTAGACAATTATAAGGAGATTTGCTGAAAGCTCCATGAAAAACCAGTTGATTGGAAATCAAAATAATGGTTTGATAGAAATAACAATGCACATGTGACTTCCAACTTCAAGAGTGCTCAAGTTCCCGGGCCTAGCCTATTTAGCAATGAGAAGATGAATTTGCTGCAAAAACAGTTTAGTCAAGTTGGCAATGGTAGCATTACTAGGACAAGTTTGGCTGCTCAAAAAGATTTGCATACCGCCTTCACTACTAATAGAGAAGAAATGAGATCATGGATAGTCGACACTGGTGCTTATGATCTCATGACATGAGATGCTGCCCTACTCCAAAATTACAAGTCAAGTAGTGGTTACTTGTCCATCCATATTGCAGATGGTTTAAATTCTAAAATTGCTGGAACAAGTTCCATCCAACTTACTAAAGAACTATATCTCAATTCTATCTTCCATATTTCAAACTTGGATTGTAATCTTTTGTTCATTAGCAAATTAGCTCGTGATCTTCAATGTAGATGTACTATAATTTTTTAATAAGAATAATAATAAATTAAGAAATTCTACACTTTTCACAAAATGACTATGGCCTATGGCTTTGAAATCCAAATACACATATAAATACAAAAGAAAATGAGTCATAAGACCATAAAATGGCACACAGGCTGCAAATATACGATTGCCCATCAACAAATGATCAATCTAGCTAAAAAAAAGAACTCAAACTGAAGGAAATTAGTCAATTCATCAATGTTGCAATTTTATGTTTCTTTTCGTTGTATACTTAGAGCTTCAAATCACCATAAATTCAAAGCTTTTTAAAAAAGCTATACTTTAAAACACAAACTCGGTAGCTTCAAAGTAATTTCTCTAAAAATAATGGACATCTTAGAGATTTTTTTTTCAAATGAGTAATTGTTCATGTGGATACATCATGAGGAAGCTAGGGTTTAAATTCCCCTTAAAAATAAAAACTTGAGAATTTTTATGTTACATATACACGAGTTAGATTATCATTCTTTTAGAAAAATATGACCTTTTATCATCAAATCTTACACTGCTCATCCACATATTGAATGGTTCAGATTTAAAGCATATCAACCATCTTTTTCAAATTTTGATGTCATATTTAAATATTTAAAACTACTTAAATGTCAACTATTTAAATAGATAGATGAGTGGTATAAGTGACGCAGGTGCTTAGGGAGGAGCCGGTTCAACCAAACCAGATCCCAACCCTCATCCTTTTTTTTTTTTGTTAATTTTATTATTATGGTTTCTAATTCATTATTTCTTTTTATTCCTTTATTTTTTAATTTACTCTACTTGACTTTAAAAGCTTATAAATAGATAAGTCCTTAAGAACAGGAGATTTTGGTGTTTAGAAAGAGAACCCTCTCTGTATCCTAGAAGCCCTCCAGGTGTTGGCCAACCTCCCTTCTCTTTCCCACCATCTGTCAACACATTCCAGCCAGCCCACCGACTTCCAGCCTTCCTCCACCTTCCAGCGCAAGGAAGACAGCAATAGGCCTTTTCCAGCCAATCGATAGTCCGACACTTCCTCCTCCTGCTCTCCAGCTAGCTTGCAGTTCCTATCTCTGAAGATCTTTTTTTTCAGCCTACTAGACCCATTCCAGCAAGCTAAACAATGCAGAATTCCTTCCAAGAAGGCCCTGTAGCTACTGTTCTTTTCCTAATCAATCAAGAAAGCCGCTGCAAACATATTCCGACCACCAGGAACAACAAACTCCTGGTTCTTGGCCCAGAGATCAGCAACAAGATTCCTCTCTGCAACATCTTCGGCCTTCAAGACGATTTGTCTTAACTAGTTCTAAATTATTAGCCTTCTTCTTTTTGTCTTTGTACATGTTATGGGTGTCATTTAGAATTACAAACAATAAATTCAAGATTAATTTCTTCTCTTCCTGATCTTTTGCAGATATTAACAATGACAATAAGATTGTTAAAACACAGGCTATTATCTTTCTAAATGATGGTATTATATATATATATATATATATATGAGATAAAATAGATGTTATCTGAGGAGCTCGTTTCTTAAAATGTATCACAAGCACAGTTATTTCCTGTTTAATTATGGGTGTAAACTGAATTCTGCAGTGATGGCACAACTTCCATTATGACATAATTCATCTATTGGTTGACACCAAATCTGAAGCTCATAGAAATTAGAATATGCTTACCTGAATCTGTTCTCAACAATTTTTGAATAAGGTTCAGCAAAGTTACTTCTATTACGTTCAGCAAATTGTTTCTGTTCAAACACATGTATTGCAACATTGACTGATGATGGAAACATAACTTCAGAATATGCTTCCTTTGCAGATGATAAGTCCAATGTTAACTCTAACTGGTCAACAACAGCAGAAGCCTCCTGCGTGGGTAATTCTTGTACTTGTTCATGATGTCTAGCATTGATATCATTGAGGGCAGCCATTACCAACTTCTTAGAATATCTCAAGTTTGCCAGATCCGCACCAGGCTTCTTAATTTGAGAATTACCGGAGAATTTTAAGTGATAACCACTTTGAGAATATATCGTAGTGTGACTTCGCATAAGGCGGCATTTTTCCCTCCACACTGAAGAAAGAATGGCAACAAAATGTTTCTGAAGAAGTAATTCATTGTCTGGAAGTTCACTAGTAACATTAAGCAGGGAACGAACATGCTCCTGCCAAAATCTATGATTAATGAAGGAAATAGGCAAACAATAACTTGAAGTTACTAGCAATAATAAAATAACATCACTAGGTAAACCTAGAGAGTAGAGGATAACATTTTAGAAGGTATTGAGGCTATGCAATTAGAACATGGCACATATCAAACAAATGATCAATTAAGCAGTCAAACATCAAAACATTTGTTATTTAATTTTAAATGCAAAACATTGCACAAAACATTTTGCATTCAACCAGCTCCATATTTGCAATAGATGAAAGGGCAACTAATGATAGAAAAGGCAAATCAATTTCTAACAGGAGGCTCAACAAAAATTTTAGCGGAGTTGAAATTCCTAACTTGGACGGTAACATGCAAGCTAATACAGACGGGTCCATTGAGCTAAATATTTAAGGCCAATATCTAGAGGAAAATGGTCACCAAATCGCTACTTGCGGCACGAGCATCAAAAGCTTCACATCAATGCTATATTTGAATAATCTGAATTAATATAAAATTTAATTCAAAGTTTAAATGTTGGTTTTTAAAAGGGTCTTGCATCTAGCCAGCATTAGATTCACAATAAATGAGAGCACAATAACCATTAAGGTAAAGGCCTCTGCACTAGCAAGAGCCACATCATAAAATTTGGCATGTTAAAAGTGCACATTCGGACAGAAAAAGCTAAGCGAACAAAAACAGGCCCTCGGAACTAAAATAAATAGCTAATTTCCTAGGAAACTGGTGACTAATCTGCAACCAACATCACAGGAATCAACCACTCAACACCAATTATATATATAAATAATAAATAATTGAATTGATATCAATTTTGATTTAATTGCACGCACGCTTACACATTTTATGATGCATATTTGTGCTTTTCAGTGCAATGCATGTTGCACGTTTTTTATGTATTTGCATAGCATACTTGCATGCTTTTTAATGTGCTTGCACTTTTTTAGCGTGCCTGCACACGGTGCTTGCATTTTTTATGGTGCATTTGCATGGTGTGCCTGCACACTTATTGGTACATTTGCACATTTTTTAGCATCCCTACATTTTAGTATATATTTACACCATATATTCGGAGAACATGGGAACAAAATAGCTTTGGTTGATCTGACCCATCTTACATACATTGCTGAAATAGTCATGCAACCCGTGACTCGCAACTAAGCACTATTTTGTCTGGTTTACAAAGTATTCATTCACAGAGTGAACAATTTATTGAGGTGACGTACTATTTATTCATGGTAGTATGGTACATATACTTTGAGATGTATGTTGCTTAGGGCACATGACATTCTAAAGGTTAGACCATGTTATTAAGTTTAAAATCACTTGAACACAACTATTTGAGACGTGTATGAGTACTTACGAAAGTCTAAGTTCGCTTTGCATTATATCTTGCATGAAAAATGGCGTCAAAGTGATGACAACTAGTTATGGAAAGATGACAAGGCAAATATACAATATTTTCTCTTTTTTTTCTTTGCTTCTCTATTTTCTTCTATTTTAGAGAGAGAAAGAGAAAGTATTATAGAGATATTCAGAGAGAGAAAGAGAGTGAGATAAAGGGGTAGAGAGGGAGGAAAATTAGAGAAATAATGAGAGGGGGGCTAGAGAGAGAAATAAAGAAAGGAGAAAAAGAAAAATATAGAGAGATTGAAAGATAGACGAGAGCAAGAAAAGTAGGAGAAATAGAAAAGAAAGAAAGAGCAAGATAGAGGGAGGTGGCCATCGATAGCCTTGTCGAGCAATAGTGACACTTTGCCATGACAACAAATGGTTATCGGCATAGCAAAAGAAGCAACAATAGTAGCAACATCAAAAGCATAGGCGGGCGAGGTAGGAGGAGACTGTCAGCATTGCTACTAATGAGTTAGCAGCAGACACACAAGCATGCGTAGTTGGGGACATGCAAGTGCACATGTGACTGAGCACAGTTAGGAGCATGGAGTCATAAGCAGGCAAGCATGTGTGGGAGCACGACATCAAAAGCGAGTGAGCGTGTGCATGGTAGAGGGGGATTACACGCAACTCGAAAATGAGCGAAGATGTAAATGTTGGGTGGGAGCTCACAAATGAGAAGGGCAACTATGGTTGGTTGTAGTTATGAGGTAGAGAGTTAAGGTGAGATAGGGTTCATTACAGCTCATGCAGTGCAAGCTAAGAGTCAGATGGTGAAGAAAATTGCAACATAATCAAGGGGCTATTAGGTTGTGTGCGAATAGAAACGATGAAGAGATATAACAACCCATCTTTTAACACAATCAAATAATATTTCAGGAGTCATTATAAGTCCAATTTGTAAACCATCCTCACCATGATATAGATATTATTGTTCTTTATTTATAATAATTTTCTCCTAATTTTATGGACAGTGTAGAAATTAACACATGTAGGCATAAGTTGGTTTGTCTGTTCTTAGTTATAATCTTAATTATAGCTTGTAACCGATTAACCAAATTACGCCAATGGGTAGAGGTTGACAACTCCTAAATGATTATTAAAAGTCACCTGTGAAATTAAATGATTAATAGAAATAAATGAAAGATAATATATAATTAACAGACACTGATATATATGACAGGTAAATTGATGATTGCAGTGATAAGTTTTGATTACTTATTAAGCTTTGTAAGCTCATTATGTAATTTTTGTTAATTTCAGGTCCGGAAAGGGATCAGGAACCTCGAGAGTGAGGCTGATCAATGTTTTCAAATTTTCTTTTATTTTTTTGTAGCCGGGAGCTTTCAAAATTGATATATTGATATTATTGAAATCTCCTCATTATGATACATTGCATTTTGAAGGAATGAATATGTAAATATATATATATATATATATATATATATATGATTTATAATTGCTTTTGTTGGATTTATTTAAAATGATAGATTTTTAGAGACAGATAAATTAATTAAGAGATAAAAATTGATAATTCTTCCAAAAGATTTTGGGATGTTACATGAGATTATAACAAGTGATAGACCTTCAAGTAGCAAGGGAAGAGATGAAAGCGTATTGACAGAATTTGCTGATATGAGAGATTTATGAGATAATTGATTTTTGATATTTTTAATTAACTTCTAATAGAAATTATAAAAATAGAATAATATAAAATAAATTCACTCTTTCTTGCAACTCTCGTCATCTATACACCCCAAAATTTTGTCATTGCATCTAGTGCGGACAAATTGTTTTGTTTTGCTTTCCCATGGCGAATAGGGCAATGTGGGCCTCTTTTCCGAGCAATTTTGACATTCTATACACATTGATACAGTCCGTTTTGCAAACTAGTGACGTTCGAGTTGTTTTTGTGTGAAGTCGTGTTCATAGTTCGACATTTTGTTCAGGATTGATCAAAGTGCTTCTTTTAGCAATTTCAATGCTCCATATACATCGATGTCCATTTTGCAAACAAACAAAGTTTGAGCGACTCCGATTGAGATTAAAGTGTTTCGAGCCTAGTTCACAAGATTGCGTTAGTTGCCTGTCATTCTCTACATGTTTGATCTAATCATTCGTGAGATATATATGAAGGTCAACATTCAATCTAGATTATTTTCAAACCACCTCAATAAGTTGGTTCAAACCACCTCAATAAGTTGATTCAGTCTTTTAACTCAATTTTATCCAATTTCTGCAGATGCATACTCAATGAAAATTTAAATTAAAAAATTTTCTGAAAGTCTGTTCTCTTTTAATATTAAACAAAAAATAATTTACTAAAATTACAAAACTAAAAATAAGACTTCCTGCAAGGGAATCTCTCATGCCATCCTTATAAGAAACCTCAAGCTTCATGTGTAGCTCAACACTTGTATCCTCAAGTAGGCCTAGTTAAGTTATAGGGGTTGTTTGGTTAGGTTTTTTTTCCATGTTTTTTCTATTTATACGCTTTCAAAGCAAGCTAATGTTAGGAACCACTTTTGGACATTGTTTCTTTTTTTTTCAAATTAGTGTTTCTGGATATTTTGAAAACACCATATGAGGTGTTTTCACTTGTTTTTCAAAACAATATTGACATCAAGAAAAAAAAATATATGAAGGCACGAAACAAACATCAGAGCCAGCCATGGTCATATATATGTCACTCATTTAAGGGTCCTTCTATTACTCATACTACTCACTGCAATATTACAATTCTACTCAACAATGCTACATTTGATTGTTCTGAAGTAAGGTTCTTGATGATTGAATCTCAATATAATCTCTTGACTCTTATAAAAAATCTGTCTGGCTAAATGAATAGAAGGTTTCAAGAAATATTTTCTTATTAAGTAATTATTCATAAAAAAAAAAAATTCCTCCATTCTTCCAGATTTACTAGATTTTAAATTAGACGTAATAACTCTAATGTTTTACACTGTTAATTTATATTCTAGAATTCAATAATCTCATACTAATATTTGCTATAATATTTTTTATCTACCAATAGCACTATTTCTAAGTATAATGCTGGTAAGCACATACCTTGGAAGACAGCTGGCAAAAACTCTAGAAACCAACTATAATAATTTATTATCTAGAGATGAAAATCTGAAATAAACCCTGAAATCAACCCTTTCAACTGATAAAAAAATAAATATTATTCTCTCATTACAAAAGTTATCCACATAAAAAACCCAAAGTTCACTCTCCCTTCTTTTTGACACAACTCTAAATCTGTCGGAAGAAAATTTTAGCAGTAATATATTTTTGGTTTTGTTCCCATTTGCCAGAGTTTCTTGTTTGTGCGTTCTGCTGTGTTTTAAATCTTCATGTTAACTCCATTACAAGTAATATAAAAAGCTTCTAAGTAGCTCAGTTAATAAAGACCTACCTTTGCCAGCTATCAGATGGTACTTATGTTGTATTGTCGTTCAAGTTATGTGACAGGGTAGTTTACATTGAAACCCCATTCTTCAATATCAGCAAGCATTTATATGTGTGCTTAGAAAAAGTTAGCACTGTTATCCTTGTTTTCAGTACTTTACTACTGCCATCATTTATTTTATCCTGGACATAAGCAAATAACACCTCTTAATGAATTTCTACCTCTAAAAATGACTGCTATTATTAGCAATAAATAAGAAATTCATGTCCTACTAACTATTATAGAGAATATCTGATGATAAACACTAAAAAAATTGATCTGTAATTATTTTCTGGCCACTCCTTTGGAGAGAATGGCTTGCATGCCCTTGCGCTTCCTAAAGACCATTTCATTCTAGAAGGGAATGATTAAGGTGGTGCACCCAATGCCTGAAGTTCCAAACAATGTATGTTCTGGGAAGGGTTAATGTTTTACATCTTACCCTAACATTTACAAAGATGTTGCTTCCAATCTAAAATCATTAAGAACTTAAATGATTGGCTAGGAAAAAAAATTCAAGCTAAAATTTAATACATTCATACATTTCTAACATCTGTTTTCATGAGATAAGTACTTTTTTTGCTCTTTCCCATACCGTCTAAATTTATGAGAGATTCTTCCTTTAAAAACAGCAAGATAAAACACTTTAATTTAGAGATCACTGAATTTCTTTGTTAAAAATGTTTGTCGAATTACAAATGTTCTCTGATACTACCCAATTCTAATTTTATCTTCATTTTTTTGAAGTTGCTATTAGTCAACAGTTTTTTTACAGCTCTTTCTGCGTTTATTCTTCTTAATTCATGGAAAAGACATCATTCTACTACCCTAAGAAAAAAAATGTTTTGTCTGGTTTTTCCAGAAAATTATGAAATTTTTCTCTTAATTTACAAAGGTCACTTTAACGGTTTTCATTAAGATCTCATGGTGTCATTCCTAATAAAAAAATGCTCTCGATTCTACAATTTTTAATTTACCATTTAAAAACATTTTTAATGGATTTTCCTAAATTGTAATATTTGTAACATATCTTAGTTGTTGATGTGGACAGCAATAGGAGATTCCGGAATGTCTATCATCGGAAGCAGCGCAGATCGACAGCTTGATCATAAGACTTTATTTTTATTTTATATGTGTTTCTTTTATTAGTTATGACGATTGTACCCTTTATATGTATGAGTTTGTGTTGTAGCCCCGAGGGCATTCTTGTCTTTCTTTTCTAATTGTTTGGAGGCCTATATATAAGGTCCTCATCTTGTATGAGAGGAGATGATGATGAATATTGAAATGAAATTTAGTTTTCTTTGCTTGATCTCTAAGTGAGTTCATGAGAGGAGAGACCCTAGGTGGGTGAGAGCAATACCCGTCAACCTTCGATGGATTCCAAGGTTCGCAGCTCCATTGTTTTCTTTTCTAATTTCCTTCTACTTTCATCTCCCCTCCCAGCCCTTACCCGCCTGCCTTCCAAACCCCCCATCCCCTTTCCTCCTCCTAAAAACCGAATCCTACCCAACACCTCACCCTTGTGCCGCCGGCCTCCCCTCACCCGTCCACCACCAACTCCACTCAACCCCTCACCACCGGCCTCCCAAAGCTCTACAAGCCGCCGGCCATCAACTCACCACCCAAGGATTTTGAATTTCAAATTTCAAAATCCTCCATAATTACTTTCCTTAATTGTGTCCTCATTAATTTGGAAAGTTGCTTCATGTAGATTCAAATTCAAATTTGAATTCTAAAACTTTCCCTATTAATAATGTATATTAGGAAACCTCGTAAACCCATTAAATCTGAAATCAATTTCAGATTTAATGACAATCCTCAATTAAATCCTTTCCGTGCCCACATATTAAATGCAAACACCTCAAATTTCCCCTCATGTGGCCAGCCCCCCTCTCTAGCCCATTCTCTGTCCAATTTTTGCCACCTAGACCCTCATTAAATCTTCATTAAACCCCCATTGGCTGCCACCCAATCAAGCCACGCTTATTGGAATTAATTTGAATTTCAAATTGAAGATTCAAATCCCTCCCAACCCCATGCATGCCACCGCCCCCTCCATGGGATCTCCCTCCTCTCTCCTAATTAAGCTCCCTCCACTTGAATTTGATTTTAAAATTCCAAATTCTTAATTCCATTTTCCTATTTTACTAAAATCTGAAACTAATTTTAGATTTTGTATTACTTTCCCTCTCCAAACCCAAACCCTAACTCCACCAAAAGCAAGCCCCTCTTCCCTTAGCTGACCCTTCTTCATTCCCACCTCTTGGAAACCTTTTTGACTCATGAACAACACTCCAAGAAAGAGGAAGGCCTCCCTCCATTGACAACCCCTTGATTAGTGCATGGCCGATCCGGATCGGGATTGTGGATTCCTCTACAACAATCAAAGTTTAGTGGATATTCATCAATCCACCTTTTTCAACCTCAATCCATAAGTGGACAACTCCGTAGAAGATTACATCAATCACCTCTTATTCACGTTGGCGTCATCAATTGAAGAGCATCTACCATCCGAAAGTCGGCGGAACATTTGGTACCCACCCACGTCTTCTCCCTCTTTGGCGAACTTTCGTTGGGCTACTAACATAGGTGTCTTCTCAACGTTGGTGACATCGCTTGGTTTGCTAAGATTCTTTTCCGCTAACCCTATTAGACGAGCTTGAGTGAGGGAAACTCAATGTGACTTTTCTATTTATTAAGTGTGGGACCTCTTGTTTACAATATTTAAGTTTATCTTTATGATTGAGATCATTCTCAAGTGATTGTTATTCTATCTTGTAATTGATTGCCTTTACATTATTGATGACCCTAAGTCGAAGCATCTAATCTTGTGAAACATTAGTTTATATTGCAAAGCTTAAATCAATTTCTTTATAATCTCTAATGCAATTCATATTGGTTTCACATCAGTTGTATTGCTTCAAGTTAAAGCAATGATTGCTCGGGAGTAAATCCTAGAAAGACAACAGATACATAAACAACAGAAAAATCATTAACAGTACAATTTGCGATTAACTCTTGTCAGCACAATATCTCATAAAAAATAACAGTTGCCGCATGTAATTAAAAAAAAAAAAAAACTTACCTCATGTAAAGCGTAAGGAAAAAAAGGAGATAGTTGGAGAGAAATTATTCCTTACCTCTGTCACCTTAAGAAGGGATTTCCCAGATCCACTTGCAGATAATTTTTCAGCATTTGAACTATCTACTGTAGACTGGACATATTTAACGAATAATTCCCTGAACCTTTCACAACAATGGACAGGATGGCGGAAAAATCCTCTATAGTATCCACCACCGGGCATACTGTAAAGTACATCGCTCACAAGAGTCCAATTTGTACCATATTCATGTACAAGTGCACATAGTATGGCATCCTCTTGAGCCAACCAGCAATCTGTTGGTGGAAAGTAATCTTTAGACCAAACATGTCCCTTCCTTTTCAACTTCTCTGGTTTGACCACCATAACACGTTTAAGAGGCATAACTGTGATAGAGACCTTGCCACCCATCTTGGGTCTATTAACATGCTTAAGATCATTATCATTAACTCCATCTGCAGATTCCAGAAATCGCTTGACCAAAGAGTTGGAATCCCTCCCAAACTTACTTTCTGAAGACTTCAATTTCTTGGAGCCCTTCTGTGAGGACTTTTCATCATTAGGAACAGCTGTAGCCTTTTTACGTTTTCTGTGTGCGGATGATTGTGGTAGAGAAGCAATAGAAATTGCATTTGAGGAAAGATTTCTCTCATAATCAGATAATGGATCTACAAATGGCTGATCTAGCATAATTTCTGTTTCAGAAGCTAGACGACCTTTCTTGAGAGTCTTGAACTTTGTTTTCTTCAACTTCCTCTTTGTCTTAGCCTTCCGTTCAGTGGATACCCCATTCCTGAAAATAACAATACACAATTCCAATACTTACGCTATAATGATAAGATAATAGTGCCATAACCGAAGCTCTCAGCCCAAGGCCAAACCTCCACATATGAATGCTACCTATGAAAGTATTTAAGCATACTAAAAGCTAATTGCTGAATACTGTCAATAGGGCCCAAATTATCAGACGCATAGGAAAGGGCATAGTTGTCAAAAAGGTATGAGAAACTTGTATAAAATATTGATGGTGATACTTTTCATTTCATCATGATCACATACTACCATATCTTAATTTTGAGGTTGGCATACGAATATATGAATCATACCTATGAAGGTATTTAAGCAGATTAAAAACTAATGGATGAATATTTTCATTAGGGCCCCAATTACAAGAAGCATTGGAGAAGCATTGGTTATTAAATTTGTATGACCAACTTGTATAAAATTCTGATGGTGATAATTTAGAATTTAGGGTTAGGGTTTAGGGCTTAGGGTTTAGGAGTAAAACTAAATTGGCCTTTCATCATAATTATTTATAATAAACCTTCATAAAATAATTCTGAGATTGGCATACGAATCTATATTCACACACATTCTATTTAAGATATAAATTTAATGAAGATGGCCAAGTCTTCACTATTTCCATAGATTAGTAGTTTCGACCTCACTTGTTACTCCTAGCCACTTCTCATTTTTTCTAAACTCCCGTCAGTTTTATGAGTAAATGATCTTAAAATATGTATCTACTCCAAACACATGGACTCAAGAGAAAGTACCGAATCAAGACCATATCTTGAAAATATGCAAATGCAAATCAAATTTCTCACCCAATAGCCTCAAAACTTCCATCTTCGGCTTCAGCGTCCTTAGCTTCAGACTCCTTTTCTTCCAACAACTGCAGAATAAGCACAGAAAGTATCAAAGCATTAAACAATGAGCTAATATATAAAGCATCATCAATAAAAAAGGCATTTAGAGCTTGTTTCACTCTTTTCCAAATCCATCCGCCCATCTATCATTTTGATTCATTTTAATGATTTCCCCAAGCGAACAAAATTAAAGTCTCGTCACATGATACTCAAGCAAGCCTTCTGTATTTTTATATATGAGAACAAACCACCCTTAAATTTCTATGAAAATTTGCATTTTATATCCATCACTTCTAAAACTTATTTTGCATTTTGGCGCTTTTATTTTCAGGTTAAACCCCTTCCCTTTAAGCCCTCTGCACTAGGTTCATCACTAGCTAAGCTAGCAGTGCCAAGGAATGGAAGGAACAATGAGTATGAAAGATGATCCACAGTGTCACTTCCCACAGATAGAGAGAGATAAAGAGAGGAGGAACAGCTGCGGAAGATCACTTACCTCCTCAAATCACTCCACAGCCAATTTGACTGAGAGAAACGAAGAACAAGATAGGAAAAAGAAATAAGTGTATTGACCATATTTTGAAGGGCAATTGGGTCATTTTATGGAAATTACTGAAATATCTACACAAAGGGCCAATCTACTCAATCTTTGAAATATGGCGAAGGATATAAACAAGCAGATCAAATTGAAATATCGGACAGCAGTAGAATTAAACTGTAAAATGTCCAACAATAAATATTGCCAAAGCAAACCTGCTGCAGAGTTAAAGCTTCAACATGCTGCCGATATGCTGTAGTGGCGAAATCAGCATCCCAATCTGCAAGCAAAATTTGAAGAGTAAGCTATTAAATACAAATTTCAACACAACAACATGTTTCTCAGAATTTACAAGCACTGGTAAATTGATTTGATACCAAAAGTTTAAAATTAATGCTTTTCTTTTCAGAAAAGATAAATTTTTAATGAATAATACGGGGGAATTTTGAACTGACAAATAATATCTCGTAAGAATGCATCAACTTCAATGAAGGCACTAGACACATATCGAAAACAAGTATTTCAGCCCGCAGAAAGGAAAAAAAAACTAAAGTACAATAAGAATTAGCTAATACAGCCCAATCTGGTCCAGTTTCTCATGCACCAACATAAGGAGTGAAACTAGACCATAAATTAGCTACACTGAAGCAGTTTTCAACGCTTCTTAGCCCCTCATCATTTCACGCCGATTTTGCATTATTATTTTATTATTTTATTAGATTAAATGTGATCCTTATGTTAAGAAATATGGATACGAATATTATCATCTTTACCTTAAAGTTATTTTTCATTATAAATAGGACTATTTGTATGGGCTTTCAAATGATTCATTAATTGATGAATGAATTATTTGATGCAAGTCAATACTGGTTTGCATATTCTTCTATTAGTTAAGCTATAAACGAGAATGTTTCTAAGCAGTGCATGAGGAATTCTTCCCTTCAACATACTTCCTAATCATATTGAACAAGAAAGAAAAATTCATTTATCCTTCCATCAAATTTGCATCAAAGCGAGGTGTGATAATTTCTTTCATATCATTAAATTGTTTTGCCAAAAAAGAAAAAAAATGAATTCCTTCATTTCTCCATCATTGGTTGATTACCAAACCACCCTTTTTTTTACTTTTCAACCGAAAACCCGTCCTTTAATTTTTCCCATAATTATACATCATTTTAAAAAAAGGTTAAGAAAAATTCAAAAAGATAGAAGTGCGAGAAATCCAAACTAAAATACTAAGATTAAATTTCTCTACCAATTTTCCTAAATACTGATGTGGTTGGGGGGGTGGTCAAAATATATTGGGTCCTTTTAGTCTTTGGGCTGCTTGTTGCTTCTCGGTTTGGGTCTTGGTTGCTTTGATTTCGAGCTAAATTCTTGGAAACTACTTGGTTCTAGCTCATAAATGCTTGAACTAATGTTAGCTCATTAATATGAGTTATTGCACTTGAAAGCTCATTATGTGGAGTTTGGAACCTTGCCTCTTCCGCTTCTTTGTGTCCCCTCGGTTTCTCCCTGGTTGTTGTTTCCCATGGCTGCCTCTACCCGGTTCTTGTGCTGCCTTTTTGGTTTGCTCCCTGGCTGCCTTCTAGTGGCTGCCTCTACCCGGTTCCTGTGCTGCCTTTTCGGTTTGCTCCCTTGCTGCTTTCTCGTGGCTCCTCTACCCGGTTCTTGTGCTGTTTTGGGATTATTTCAGGCCTTTTTTTTATTGGTTTTGTGGGAGGTGAAATGGTTGTTTGGCTTCCATCTTTTATCCTATATATATATATATATAATGTTTAGAGTTTTTAGGGAGATGCTATGTGACTGATTTTTGGAGCCTAAACCTGCGGGTTTCTTCGTAGAAAAGCTTGATAGCTTGTTATATTCCTCTCTTATTCTAGGAAAGCTTGCGAGCTTCTCCTCTTTCGTCTCGGCTCCTTGCCTCTTTCTTCTATCCGCAAGTTCCCTTCCACTTGTATTCTTCTTCTCAAACAATGTTATGATGCAATTTTAGGTAGTTTATGTTTGTGTTTGTAAGCGTCAAAGTTTTAAGTGTCATTTTATATTATAAAAGTGAGTTGTTTAAAAGTGAAGTTGTTTTTGGTTTAATTGTTGTATTTCATCTACTTTGGGGTATTTCGTGTATTTTCTATTTATCTAGGAAGAGTTTTCTATTGCTTGCAAAAATTAGGGGGCTGTCCTAATTTTTGCCTGCATCAATTTGGTATCAGAACAAGTTAGTATATCCTAGGTTTTGGTGTCATGTGAGTATTATTTTTGAGTCATGAATCATAGTCCATGCAATCAGCCTTCGGAAGCCTCAGGTCAAGATTCAAAACAAACTCAAGCTTCATCAGGAGATGAACAATTTCAACCGGCAGAGAATTGATGTAGGCAAGGGGGAGGGGTCAAAACATCTTGGGTACTTTTAGTCTTTGGGCTGCTTGTTGCCTCTCGGTTTGGGTCTTGGCTACTTTGGTTTTGAGCTAAATTCTCGGGAACTATTTGGTTCTAGCTCATAAATGCTTGAACTAATGTATCAGAGCTAAATTTTTGCTTGCATCAAATACTCTCCCCAAAAAAGTTACCTAATCCAACCCAATCTTTACCACCTTACCTTATTCTTGATATCCAAGCCTCAAGCCCATGATAGCCAACAGACAGCCTAGTGTAGGCACTCTCCATCAAATTCTCATGAAAGCTCCAAGTCGATTAACCCAAAATTTAAATGAATTGTCTTTGGTGTCTACTATTTTCTCTTACTTCCACCGCGACTCTCTCTAACATAACACAATCCACTTTTTGCTTGCTTTAATGCTCAATAGCATATCTGGTACTCCAATCACAACTTATCCCATGATTTACAAATCTAGAAAACAATTTTGGATCCGAACATTGTAATTCCGTGAAAGTAGTATGCCAAAACTTCTACAGCCATTTGTGGCTAATGTTTCACCCACTCTCACTGACTATTTTCCATCTCTCCCATGAAATCCCATAAACCATGTTTTTTCTTCCTCTTGTTGCATCCCATTATCTCCAAACCTTATTTCCCAATCTCCCCCTTTTCTCAAACTTCTACATTTTGTAATTATCATCAGCTTCACTTCAAAAATTCCATTGAAACTTGAATCATTGATTTCCTCCTCACGGTCTCATTGTCACCCATGCACTTAGTACACTATTTTCAATTTCTAAGTTGGCAATCTCATTTATCTACACAAAGACGATTATCATCTCAACACAATTGCCAACTGCTAGAAGCCAACTAACCTTTTCTATTTTTAAGATCTTTCAATCATACATATTAATTGAATGCTGTGTATAATTATTTAACCTTAATAAGACCCATTTTTTATTCATTTAATATTAAAATCAAACAAAAGTGCATGTATTCTTCAAATTAAATAATTAGCTAATAATTTTTTTAGTACATGCGTGCATGTGGCGAATTAATTATGATAATTTATTACATAAATTAAATCATCTCATTATATTTTTAATATTAAAAGAAGTTCAAATATTAAATATTTGATAAAACTAATTTAATTTGGACATAATAATTATCAAAATTTAATCAAAATAGGTTTAATTAATCGAATATTGTGTATAATTATTAGGAAATTTTTTAATAATTTTTAAATACCAAAAATTTAGACCAAGAATTTTATTTAGAATTATGCCGACCCCACGTAGTGGGATAAAGGCTTGATGTTGTTGTTGTAATTTTATTTAGAATTATATAAGATAATTGATTTCATAAACCTATAATTTTTTCATATTTTTAGAAAATAGATATTAATTTTTTAAAATTTCCTAAAGTTATTTTAGCAATTATGATTTTTATACAATCATAATAAAATTTTGAAGTTCTAGCAATTAATTTAAATCCCTAAAGTAGATTTAACCAGTCATCAATGACTGGATTAGAACCTATGCAGGTGGCGCTCTGTTGAGATAACGGAATCTGTGCAGTATTGTAAAGGATATTAGTATAGCAAAGGAAGGACAATAAATTATGCAGTGAAGTGTGGGCCATTAGATTTTGCGATTAGAAGGTACTACGACCACTATTTTTTCATTTTTCCCCTTCATAGTTTGAAACCTAAAAAAACATGGCATCACTCATCGTGCTGCTGGAGGTCACATATAGGATGGTGGGCAATAGAGCTTGGTCTAAAGGTGACGCAATCGCCATGTGTGAGGCTTGTTGGCGTCAGTGGTGGTGCTAGCGACAACACTCAAAGGACCCTATCTTCCACCTGTTTCTAATAGTAAGTTTGGGTGGTTTTCTCTCGTCAATTGTATGGAAGGCAGTTGGAGCACAGGTTTACATAAAGGAAGGTTAGGGTAACTATTTGCTAATCAAAGACTCGTCATCACCAGCAACGATACCACTTGCCACCAAGTTACAAATTTACTTTTATTTAAAGTAGATATGAAGCTTTATATTTAAATGATATCTATAACTTCAAAAGTTTTTATGAGTGCACCTTTGTTCTATCCTAACTCTAATTTCTCTACAATATGCCTTTAGAAGTTATAAATGACTTGGAGTGGAGGATAGTTTAACCTTATCTACAACTGATAGAAGAGGTTAAAGCCTTGAGCAGGTTTGTTTCAACCTCTTTTGTTTCATAGGAGAGTAGCACGTTGGTGACAAAAGTTTTAAGCAAGAGATAAAAAAAAATTAACATGAAGATCTTCCCTTTTTTTCAATTATTCTCAACTTATAGACTATAAAATGGTCATATAAGTTGTAGAGAACTTTGCCAGCTTTACAAAGACACCTGCAATTTAAACAAGAAATGAGTGGTCTTGTACAAAATGGTAAATATGTGTCAATTTTATAAGGGAAAATTATAATTTGATATAATTGTGATAATTGACACAGATATAGAATATCCTCATGATGACTACTGACTAGGGTGATGAACTCATGAAATTTAAAATGATAGTTAAGGTTGATGCACGATATGCCAATGCTAGCACAAACTATAGATCTCGTACCAAGATAGAGAGCACTGAAATTAAACCTAGGGCTCTCTTGGCCAACTATAACTTCCAGAGGATGTAGTAGAATAACAAGAGTGATCCTAGTGCGTGCAAACCAAGATGACTTAAGTTGCTTCTAAGATGAGTGGTAGGACATCAAGAGCCTAATAAGGAGAATATGACACTAAGTCAAATCCAATAGATAGATTAAGATATCCTAGATCAACTAAGTAGAGAATGTATATAGTGATCAAATCACTGATAGTTCAGGATATATCAAGGCAAACAGTCCAATATACAGGGATAGATCTAATTGAGTTGATAAGAGTGTCCAAAGCTAAAAGCAGATTGAGCCAAGAGAGACTGGCCAATACCTCTAGAATATGTGCCAAAGGAAGAGTTAACCAGGGAGATATGACCAAATCAATGCTAGAACATTGGTCTAGTGACTACAAGCACGAAAAGTTACCAATTGCATGTGCGTATCATAAAAGAAAAACCAAATGTACAAGTGTAACTGACATCTCCAAAATAAATCTAAAAATAACAAACAAGGTGTATGAAATCTGAGTGTCGAGTATGCCTCAAAAAATGAAGCCAACAGCATCTTAATGAAAAAACCACTATCAATACCAAATAGATAAAATATGAGATTGCTTAAATATAGATGAATGTTTAGAAAGACAGCTGGATTGAAAATAAATATTATGAATGTGAAAATAATTAAATTTATGAATAAAAATACCATTGGTATAACAATGCATAATAATAGGTGAAAATGCCAAGCACTGAAGGTTAGGCTCCTGCACTATATTGCTACAAGTTTAACAAGGTGAAATAATAATCAAATAAACACAAAGCAACAATGTATTAACTTAATAAAATTTAGTTGAGCCAAGTTACAGCAAACAAAACTAAATGTTAAATGTAAGATAAACAACAATTCAAGGCAACTAAAGGAAGAAAAAGCTAAAAAACATCACAATAGGTAAAAGAGAAAGAATAAACATAATTACATGCAATGTTGATTTTGACGTACATACAAAGAAAATAAGGGTCAAAAAGAAAATTCAAAACATTAAAGGCTGAGATTTGGGAGGGTAACATTTGACAAGCAAATAAGATTGAAAATATAGAAAAGCTCCTATGATCAGCACAGAATAGGACCATTCTTGACAAGCAGAAGATATTAGTACTCAAGAGAAAAGGTTAAGCTACAAAGATCATATGGGATTCTGTCATGTTGCAATTATGTAAGGGGGCTCCTATTTTCCTTTGGTACAATGACTTTTATGATAGATTGACTCAAGAGAGGATTAGTTTTTCTAGACGAAGGAAAAGGGTTTTAAGCAAAACCCTAAGTAAATAAAAAATAATAATAACAAATGGTACAATAATAAAGTTAAATATAACAAGTTTTATTTAAACCATAAGATAAAGAAAACTAAATGGCATGCATTGAGTGTAATGTGTTATGTGCTATAGTGCATTAATCATGTCCATGGCATGTGCTAGTTCGACTATTTGCAACTTGCTATGCCAATAGCATGAGAAGTGCGCCTTGCTTGTGATTACAAATCACTTTTCAGGTATAAGCTTATGTTGCCTAGATGAGAAGTTTTTTTGGTCTATATTCTCTTTTCTATGTTTTGTTATAAGCCATGTTATGACTCAGACGGAACAAGCTATTCTAAAACATTGGCCCTCACTATTGCAGATGACTACCACCATAGTTCTAGTGTAGTCACCTTCACTTCTAACAACTATTTGGATATTTGTGGTGTTCTTCCTATCAAGGTATCTCTGATGAGGACATCAGTCAGAGATTTCGACATGTGTATCGTCGACATAGTCGTGGAGCAACGGCTACGATTCAAAGCCTATATTTTTTATGTATTTTTTGTTTTATGTTTTATGTTGCTTTTGAGTTTTCCCATTTTACCCCTATGGGGAGTTGAGTCTATGTTGTAACCCGAGGGCACTTTCGCCTTTTATGTTTCTTTCATTTGGGCCTATTTATAGGAGGCCTCTTGTATTGTAATGGATGATGATTATTGAGTAAAAATTTTATATTTTCTTTTTCTCAAATTGTGAGCTCTTGAGTGGAGAGAATCCTAGGAGTGGGATATGCAATACCCGACAACCGCCGGTGGATTCCGAGCTCTCGGTTAGTCTTTTGTTTTATCTACCACCACCCTTCCTTCTAATCTTTCCTCATACTCGAGCCCTTCCCAAATCCCCCATACCGCCGGCTCACCCTCCACCTCCCTTAATCCCCACGCCGCCGACCCCCTCCTTGGCCCTCCCAATCGCCAGCCGCCCATAAGCAGCTGGCAGTACCCAACCTCAGCCACCAACCCCCTTGCCCACCCGCCAATCCCTCCTCCCATGCTCCTTGAATTTTGAATTTCAAAATTTAAATTCATCCCTCACTACTTTCCTAAATTAATCCTACCAATTAGGAAAGTGTATTTAGTTGAATTTAATTCAATATTTGAATTCAAATAATTCTCTCCCTAATTAATTTCAATTTAGAAGACCTCCCTCTAATTACTCAAATCTAAAATTAATTTAAGATTTGATTTCAATTAGCATTTAATCCTCATGGCCTACATACAACGAATCTAGACACCTTGCTCCTCCTTCATGTGGTCGGCCCCTCCCTTGCCTTTTATCCCTCCTCATCAACTCCCAATCACAATTAATTGATCCCCTAATTCCCTCTCTAATAATTGCCCATCAAAGCCCAAGCTCTATTTGAAATATGAATTTAATTTCAAAGTGATTCCCTCCAATTCCACTTAACCTGAAATTAATTTCAAGTTATTTAATCCCAACGCTTTTTAGCTCAAGCCTAGTCATTCCCCCTCTCTTCCTCACGCCGGCCCAACCCCCTCCTCTCTACCCAAGCCGCTGGCCTCCTTCTCCACCCGCCACCTCCTCTCCCTCTCCTCCCCCACTTTTACTCTCTCATTTTGTGGGCTCCGAAAATTCGGCCTCGGCCTCCACTCGCTTTTCTTATTCGACGAGGGAGTTTTAACGAACTAAGTTCCGAGGTAAATTTTGGAAGGCAGATGGGTTTGTAGATACGACACTACCCAGAGATTTCGCCCTCATTTTGCGAGGACTTTATGATCTGAGTTCTGGTTTCCTATAGGCGCAAGCCCCTATAGTTAATTACCCCTCTCGATCACAAGAGAGAACTTTCGATGAAGGCTAGTCGTCAATCAGATACGTAGAGTATACGTGCTATCTGGCATATAGTAGCAGCATATGGTTTAGGATACTGGTAGAAATTGGATTTGGAAGTTGGGTTTTGATTTGGGTATTTGAGAACTGGATTTGGATTTGGGAATTTGGAGAGTTTGATATTTGGAAAGATTTAATATTTAAAATAGAAATTTTCACCATCTAGCACTTAAAGCGGATGGTGGAGGAATGGATGATGGGCCCGATCAAGATCCCATGGTTCCGTCATCCCGGGCCATCGTGGTCCCTGGTCTACTTAGTCAGAGGAGGTAGTCGACCCAACCTGACAGAAGGATCCTTGTCGGCAGCCATGGGTTGCTTCGTCCAAGGGAACCTTGTAGATCGGGGTTGAATGTTTGTCTAAGGGGACAAATTTAAATCCACCTTAGCTGACAGAGGGCTTTGTGCCCTATCAATCATATCCTATTGATTCATATCTGGGTCATTTCTATTTGTAGCTTGAACCTTATCAACTCAGCCGAGCTATTGACTGAGGATCGGGTTTTGTAGGCTTCGTGCCTTTATTAGTGAATTCATATTGTTGTAGGCCTTGATGGCCTAATATGAATGTTTTAAAGCAAATATACCGGTCTCCACAACTTTATATTTGCTTAATGGTTCGAACCCTGTCGACTTCTATTGACCCGTATAGAAGGATTGGTTTCGAACCTGAATTCACTTGTCAACCCGCGCAGCATCCCTAGACGTCACGTGTGTACCAATAACACGCTCGCCGGGGCCCATGCGGGTTTTATAATTATTTTTACCCCCTTTAGTGTACCTATGTGTATACAATTTATAGTGCACGTGCAGGGGTACTTTGAAATAATTGTAGACGCCTTCTGTCTGCTTGTACGAATGTTGCAGATCCGGTGGCGTAGCAGCTTCTGGATAGAATTGTTCGCTGCTTCGTACAGGTAGACTGTCGTGCACTATTTGTTGATTTTTGTAGGCGGGTCATAGTGCACTAACTAATCTCCTGCCTTGGGTCGTAGAAGCTTGTCGTATTCTCTATGCATTTGGTTGTGGTCCTTGGTCTTTTCAGTGCATCCGTCACTGCTGCATGTATTTAGGTAGATGCCTTCCTTCACAGACTGGAATTGACTTCAGGATACTGCATTTACTTAAGTATTTCTGCATCTACCCATAGATGACATGTTATACATACACATTTTTCACGGCAAGCATGTATGGCGGATCCGGAAGTTGATCATGGGCTCATTCTCAATTCTCAAGGGGAGATTGACGTCATTCGATCACCATTCTTTGATCCCGGATTTGGAGCCGAAGGCACCGTCAAGGAATACATGGATCGTATCCTCCCCCACTTAGCGAAAGTCATCGACGAACAAAAATCTCTTGAAGAGTGGAAGATCACTGGATGACTGCCCGTTCCTCCAACGCCGATTCCTTCCCCGACGACTAGTACCCTCGGCATCGCGTGTCTTCTAGTGGCATCTCTAAGTTTTCTTGCAATATTCTTCCGCTAAGCTCATCACCTTCAAGAGTTTGGGTGAGGGATCCCAAGGTGAATGATCTAATTATTAAACTGTGGATTTTGTTAACTTGCCATTTGCTTTACTCGTTTATTTGGTGTGGTTATTTTGCAAGTGACCTATTAATCTCAATTGTAATTGATTGCCAGTGCTTAGTATTCTCATGGAATTTCTTAAGATCTAACTTGAATACGCATCCGTTTATGTTTAGCCGAGCAAAGTTCACATTTTATTAATTTCGTATGAGTAATTCTTATTTCATCTTCATTGTTTCACATCAATCTCCCTCCTTGTCCAACTCAACAAGGAAGTTGAAAAATTCATTTAACCCTCCATCATCAGCTAGTCACCAAATGAAAAAAAAAACCAAGAAGATGAACTCACTTTCATAAAAAAGAGGCTCCTGATCATCATCAATCTCAGCTTCCATATCTTCCTTGAACTTTTCAATTCTATCCAACTCCCAATCCTCTTCTTCGACACTTTCATGATATTCCACGGAAGATTTATCAATTATTGGATCCCACAAGTCTAAAAAGCGCATAGCATATCTATCAATGGGCTGAAGCTGGTTTTCAAATGTTGAACTAGCTTGCCCAGCAGCTGCTGCAGCAGCTGCCATCTGTTTTACATCAGCCAACATGTCAATATCTTCAGATCCCCCAATTAAAGTGAGAGCATTTTCTTCATTCAGATTGTCAGCTCCGCTATCCTTGCTCCCCATATTTCTAGAGCTAAATTTACCTTTTTCATCAGGACCTTTTTCATCAGCCTTTGTTTCTTCCTCATTCTCATCATCATCGATTCTCCCTATAGCATCTTCAGAAAATTCTTGATTCTCTACTGCTTCTTCCTGCTCTACTCTTTTCAGAGCTATATAATCTGCCTCATCTTCTGCATGCATAATAGCTGCCTCGACATCTGCATTTGAAATGTCTGCCCCCATTCCATGATTGGAGGATTCAGCAGGATTATTCTCCTTACAAAAGTTCCCAACACTAAGTGATTTATGATCAGAAAATAGTTCCATAGGGTCAAGCTTTTTGAAGAACTCTGTGTTGTAACTTCCACTCTGTATGACCAAATCATCAAGCCTACGCTTCTGATTTGCTTTCTTCAAAATGTTTTCTTCAATTGTACTCTCACTAATAAGTCGATATATGTGCACTTCCCGTGTTTGTCCTATCCTGTGGCATCTATCTTGTGCTTGCTGATCCATTGCTGGATTCCAATCACTATCATAAAAGATAACAGTATCCGCCCCCACTAGATTAATCCCAACTCCACCGCTCCGGGTCGATAGAATGAATAGGAAAAATTTTGGGTTTGTGTTAAAACGCTGCATCAGAGTTTGCCTCTGTTCCGGTGGTGTAGAACCATCCAATCTCATATATGTATAACCATACAAATTGATGAAAGCCTCCAATATATCAAGCATCTTAGTCATCTGCGTAAATATCAAAGCTCTATGCCCTTCTGACTTTAAACGCCTTAAAAGGACAGAAAGTTCCTGCAGCTTTCCACAATCAAACTGTATCAGCCGTCTATCAGGAAAATACACTTGTCTGCGCACAATGGCAGGTCTATAAGGTGAGAGGAGAGGTGATAGAAACTCTGTACATCTATCAACATAAGCTTGTGTCCGAAACACACAAGATCCACCTTTACTGGACCAGCAAACAGGAGGAGGTGCACGTGCAGCTGGAATTGCAAACATAAAGCTTTCAACTGTGCCTATCATCTTTTGGAATCGTTCATGAGCTGAAAGGACTAGTTCTCCAAGATAGGATGAAAATTTCATATAACAGGAAGGACTATTCTTTTGCTTGTGAATATCTGCAACAGGGTGCTTAATAGTAACAAGTTCCCTAAGATTAGCTCCGTAGATAGGTTTCTTCTGACATTGCAAATTATTCCACCATGCAATAGAAGCTGCCTTTTCTTTTAACTGCTTCAGTCTTTCTTCAAAAAGCGCTTTCTGAATTTCTTCAAAAATATTAGTTCCTAGGACTCTTTTGCGGTCATACTGATCAGTAAATGGTATCCCTATAAACTTTAGCATATTGTCCTCAATTAATTTAGATGAACAAATTGACAATACTTCCTCAGTCTCCCAAGAAAACATGTCAAATTCATGATGAGAAAATATGAGATTTAAACCTTCGAGATTAACCTCAGAAAATGGCCCAGAAGAAAATATTGAAGAAACAGCTGAACTTAATTGAATGTCAATACCAGCCATATCATATGAACTTATGATTGGACGGCCCTCAAATAGATCAGGATGATTGCAGACCTTCCTAAGTTGCATTATCACGCTAATCATGCCAAAAAAATTTGCACTAGCAAGAGTTGCTTGGGTTTCCGAGCTTGCAATAAAGTCTTCATACAAGTTCCTTTGTCGTCTTGAAAGTCTACAGTAGATGACATGCTCATGCTTCTTGGGGAGTTGCTTCTCCACATCTCTTTTCAAGCGCCGAAGTATGAAAGGACGAAGAACATTGTGTAATCGATCTACTACTTCCCTGTTAACCTTTTCCTGACCCTCCACCATCCCAGAGATTGGATTACTGAACCAATCTTTAAATTCTTGATGAGATTGAAATATATGAGGCATTAAGAAATGCATCAAGGACCAAAGTTCCATAAGGTCATTTTGTAGAGGTGTGCCAGTTAACAGAATTCGCCGTTTTGAGTTGAAGTTCAATAGAGTTTGCCATCTTTGAGATTTCCAGTTCTTTATTAGATGAGCTTCATCAAGGATGAGGTATTTCCACTTCTTTCGTTTAAATACTTTTGAGTCTTGGATGATAAGTCTGTAAGTAGTGATGCACACATGAAAGGAATTTGGTTTCAACCAACCTTGCCTCTTATGTTTCCGCTCTTTTGCACTTCCAAAGTATGTCAGTATTTTGAAAGCAGGACACCACCTAAGAAACTCAGTTTCCCAATTAAGCATTACACTAGTTGGTACTACAATAAGATGTGGTCCCCAGATTCCCTTCTCACATGCTAAATGTGCTAAAAGGGCAATTGTCATGATTGTCTTTCCCAAACCCATTTCATCTGCAAGAATTCCATTAAGTCTCTTGTCATACAAAGTGACCAACCAATCCAAGCCAATATGTTGATATTCCCGTAGAGGGTGTTTGAGGAGGAAAGGAAACTTAGTTCGCACATTGGTGGTCGAGAATGTATTGCCTGTGGGTTGAGCAGATCTCGCTGCAGCTGCTGCATCGGCGATCATGTTTTCACTGTCCCGTTTATCCATGATTTTATCATGTTCAAGCTTCATGTCATCTTCAATGTCTGCTGCATTGGAATCTTGGACTGTTTGAGGAGAATTTGCCCGTTCTGAGGCATGATCAACTCTGGAAAGGCTTGGAACACCTGATTGAATAACGCAATATGCCTCATTCTCAAATGGGCCATCCGAAGCAGAGGAAGAACATTCAGATTCCACAGAGCCAAAATCATCATCATTCTCCAACTCCTACTGGTTGAAACAAGTCAGTTACCAAAAAAGAGAGCGGTTCATGTGCACCAGATCTGAAAGAAACTTACCTGTCCATACCTTCCAAGTAGCTCTTCTAAAGGCAGCTCACTTTCTTGTTGAAGTTGCTTTATCTGTTACAGCAGAGAAATAAGTGAGAAACAGCATTTTAACGGTCTCACCTGGATGCCGCATTCTTATGTTATTTCATGTAAACATATGGAATTGGGAAAAATTATGTATAATATCAAGTATTTGTATTTAAGGATTATTTTTTTCTGCAAATAAGCTTTTGATGAGGACATCAAGACATGGAAAAATCTACTAGAGGCGTGGTCTCCGTTCAACGATCACGATTACATCACGCTACTTACGATTTTCATATTTATGATTGATGTATTATTTTTTTTATTTTATGAAGTTTATTATGCCTTTCCTTTTTTCTTTTTTTTTTTGCCCTTACTTAAGGGCTTAAGTATGTGTAAGCCCTAGGGGCATTGTAGTACTTTTTATTTTCTCATTGTATGGGCTATTTAAAGCCCCCCTCTTCTTCTTTGAGAATCAATGAATGAATTAATGATTATTTGAGAAATTTGTCTTCTTTCTTGGAGTTCTTGAGAGCGCTTGAGAGATCGGAGAGAGAACCCTTGGAGAGAGAGATTGGCGCATCACCCACCAACCTTAAAGACGTCCGGGTTCGTGGTTTCCTTTCTTTGATTTCCCTTAACCCTATCACCCACATTTCTTCACGATCTTACTTCTCCCTCGTCGTTTCCTTCCACCCACCAAAACACCGCCTACATCTCCACCTTGCCGCCAGTCCCTTACCCGTCCCCATTCAAACCGCCAGCCTAGCCCTCTCCCATCCCCATTGCCTACTTTGGATACTTCCTAATTTTGAATTACCATAATTTAGTTGGTCTTTGAATTCAAATTTCTCCAAATTTGGAATTCAAATTCTTTCCTAAATTATAAAATCTATTTTAGGAAAGTTTTCAAGTTTTCCCTCCTCTTGGTTTTTTCCCTCCATCACCAACTCGCCATTAAACCTTTCCTAAAATAGTTGATGTGAAATGATATGCGGTGAAACATGATTTGCACGTTAGAGATTAATGAGAGTTTAGCTTTGCGATGTTAACGATAAAATCTAGCTTACTCAAGTTGGATTCAAGAAAATTCGTGATAAATTATGTTAACGGCAGTGATTACATTTAAGAATTGCATGAGTCTAGCAAAAGATAACCAAAATAAACTAGATAATGCAAATAGCTACTATTAAAGCCACACGTTTAAAATCTAGATCATTCACCTTGAGGTCCTTCACTCGTTTTGAAAGTGGTGGCTAGCGGAAGAGAACCGTAGGTCAACTTAGCGATGCCACTAATAGGCAAGTGATCTTGAGAGGACTTATCGCCGGGAAGGAAGTCGGAATTGGAGAAGCCGGTGGATGTCCGCGGATGATCCAGTCGCCGTCTTCAAATTGCTCGTCTACCACATCCCCGAGTGTCAGGAAGATGCGGTTCAAATAGTCTTCGACGTTGTTGTCGAATACAAACCCGACATCGAAGAATGGCGAACGAGTTATGTGTATGCTTCCGTATTCGCCGCCATGCATCTTGCCAGGGAGTCCAAATATCACGGAGATATGAGGAGAGAAGGTAGGCGGCGGGTATAGGGAAGGAGAACTTTGTTTTGAGTGATTGTGATAGCAAGTAGAGAACGACTCCAAAAGACAACTGAAATTATCAGCAATAATTTCAGTTTTTAGCAAGGGGGTGAGGGAATTAATTTGATGAATTCAAATTAATTCAAATGGTTTAATGGGGCGGATAAAGAGGAAGAAATTTGGGCTGAATTTGTGGTGTTATTATGTCATTTGGAGGAGAGAGAAGCCCACTAAGAGTGGCCGGCCATATGAGGAGGAGAGAGGAAGGTTTGGGAGTTATGAATGTGGGGCCCAAGTTTAAGTAAGAAATTCAATTAAATCTGAATTTTAATTTCAGATTTAATTGTGGCTTAAGTAACTTCCCATTATTCAAAATGAGAGGGAAATCTAATTTGAATTTCAAATTAGGAGTTAATTTCATTAATGAGCTCCCATAAAGATAGGGAACCAATTAGGAAAGAGTGTAAACACAATTTGAAATTCAAACTCAAGGAATTAAAGGAAACAAGGGGCGGCGGGAGATGGCTGCTGGGCTGGCCGGTGAGGGGTTGGCCGGAGGGAGGCTGGCGGCTGGCCGGTGGCTGGTTGGCCGGCGGTGGCAGATCTGGCCGCGGAAAGGGGAGGTAGGGTGGCCGGCGACTTTAAAGAGCTGGGAGGGGCGGCGGCAAGGCAAAGGGGAGAAAGAAGATGGAAATTCCACGGCGACGACGAATACGGATTTACTAACCTCAAATGTCTTCTCGTTGAATTTCCACAAGATTAGTTAGCACGAACTAGAACTCACAAAGAGATCTAGACTTCTCCGGCGAACTCACTAAGAGATCGAGGAGGTGAAGAACTAACCAAGAGATCTTCTTTAACTCACAAAGAGAACACATAGTAGTAAATTTTCATTTCATCAAAACTAAAAACTATTACATGAGAAAATGGCCCTATAAATAGGCCTCCAAAATGACAAGAAAGCAAAAAGACTAAAATGCCCCTCGGGCTACAATAACGACCAAATACCCATAAGGGCAAAAACGGAAAAACATAAAAATCAAATAAACTACTACATAAAATGATGAAAATAAAGATCATGATCGTGGCCGTCGATCTCCGGCATCTCCTGATGGTACATGTGTCGCAATCTCTGACGATGTCCTCATTAATAGTCTTTATATTTTAGATAACTCTATTCATGAGTAAATTCAAATTTATTAGAATTTGAAAAATTACCTAAAATACCAATCCTATTTTAGGAAAGTTTCCAAATCCCTTCCTCTTTGAGTTTTAAATTAATTTGGGATGAAATACCTCTTCCCAAATTTAATTCCCTAACTCAAGGAAGCATTAAAGGTTTCCATAAAAATTTCCCCAATTCCCCTTGGTACCGCCGACCCCTCCTAGCTCCTTGGTTTTATTTCATTGTTGAATCATCATAAAACTTTAATTAATTAGCTCTTACTCAAAAGCGTGCAAATTCCTTATTAAAATCGTTTTTTCATATATGTCCTGCATCATCTGGTATTAGAGCATGGCTAGCATGCGTTACATGTGCTAGAAGTCATCCTAGGAGCTTACCTAATCATTCTTATGTATTGTTACATGCATATCATCATTTAACCTAGTTTAATTTACTGTTATGCTTGCTGTCCACATCATTCATGCACACATCTAGTGAATGTTAGGCTAATTTCTTAGTGTCTAAATGTTGTCCCTTGCACTTAATCTTCATTAGGTTTCATTTAGCATTTCCAATGAACCCGAGAGGACTTCAAAAGAAGTTAGATGACCTAGTTAACCTAGTGGGCTCTATAACTCAAACACCTCTAGGTATGTGCCCCATTCATTCAATCATGTTAATCGAAAAATTACTCACTCAGCTTATCGTCCTAGTCCTAAGCCTAAGCCGCAACAACCTCACTTATAGTCACATAACCGTCTATCCGCCTTTGATGATTCCTCGGATCCTTACTACTTTAAGGAATGGGTTAGACAGTTAGAAAACTATTTTGAAACACATGAATTCCTGAGTCCCACCGGGTGAACATTGCTAAGGCTCACCTAAACGGTCGTGCTTGTCAATTTTGGATGAGGGTAGAAGATCATAGAGAGTTTCGTGGTGAAAACTCTATTTCTGATTGGAAAAGCATGAGACAAGAACTTGAGTTAAAATATCTCCCTCTCCCACCTTCCACTCACCTTACCCCAACACCCAGTGATCTTCATTTAGAAAACCATCCTGCCTCTTTTGTTGGGACAAACCGTAGACATCATTGTGGTCAAGACCACCCATACCTTAGTGACATCAGGGTTGCTGCCCCACCCTGTAGGTCTCCACCTAACCTTGATGGTCGACCCTCTATAGGGTCTTCTGTTGGATCGGTCCCATATGACTCCCCACTTGGGCCGACTCCTAGCCATCCTAGTCAGAACATGTCCCTTGAACCTAAAATTGAGTGCATCCATTTCGTGGATACTAATGATATCATTGATGACGAGGATTTCTTTGATGATGAAACTGAATTGATTGAATTAGACCCTGGTGTAGAAGATTTAGAACCTTTGAGCATTGATATCTTAGCCCATCCTAATCCTAGTCTCATCAAGGATCTCCCGTTGGATAAGGTCTGCCCAGATGATATTAATTTGATCCCAAAAGAAACTGATCTGACCTTGAGCATATTGAAATTGAATTCGGAAGAAAGTAATCTGAATCTGAATTATTCTGAGCCTAATTTGGGAGATGAACATCCTCTTGTTTTATTGGAATCTATTTTAGGAGTTGCCCCTTTAGATTTACATTTGAAAGAGTGTGTCTATCTTGATTGGGCTTATCTCACTATTCCTTGTACTGACTTTACTGTTAGAGAGAGTATTAGCCTTTACTTTCATGTCACCTCTCTATCTGTTCTGGACACTCTACCCTATCTTTTGAGTCTCATACATGCTGGTGACTCCTTGGGCTATCCCATTATGGTTGTGAGTCAGGACCCATCGTCTGATCATGTTCATGATTCCTCCGTTATGTCCTCCATATTCTTGTTCTTCCCTGTTAAGGACCATCTCTTTCCTAGTTGGATAATTTTGCTAGATTACCCAGTTGCTCCTAAGAGACTATCCATGACCCTAGCTGAAACTCCTTATGGGAATACCCTTTTTGCTAAGGATGTCTTCATTGTTCCTCATACACCCGTTCCCTTAAACATGAAAATCTTATGTCCTCTCATTTTGTGACCGATCCATGTTTATGCATATATATGTGTGTTTGTGAGTCAGTATGTGTGTGTGTCTGTTTTCATCCAAAATTTCCCTCCGTTTAAAACTTTGTGTGAGTCCACAATCCATGTCAATCATCATGCACACCGAGTCTCTTGCATTCTCATTTGCATTGCATATGCATGATTTACATAAGGAAATTACACGCAAAAATGGAGCAGAGCAACATTAATTATAAGCTTCTTGTTGATTTTAAACAAATATTTAAAACCTTAGAGGTTGGTGACTCAGTGATGGTGCGGATTCGTCCGAAACGATTCCCACAAGGAACTGTTAAGAAGTTACATGCCAAAAGTGTGGGGCCATTCAAAATAATCAAGAGAACCAACAACAATGCTTACAGGGTGGATCTGCCTACAGAATTCGACATTAATACCTCCTTTAACATAAAAGATCTGGTTGCTTATGAGGATCTGGAGTGTAACCCGCCAAATCCACTTCAATTTGAGCCTTGTGTGACCCCACCTTGTGAGAACCCAAGCTTACCTCCACTCTCAAATGTTTCTAAAATACCTATAGCGGAGAAGATTGGCATGATTTTAAGTGATGATATTATTTCTGCAAAAGAGAATAGTCGAAGAAGGTATTTGATTAGGTGGAGAGGCAAGCCTGAAACCAAGGACACCTAGTTAGAGTGCGAGGAGCTTCAGCAGATTGACCCAAGCGCACTAGAGTTCTACGAGAGCACTCGGGATGCGCACTCGACGGAGTCGAGCTCTTTCCCACCCGGAAGAATGATGAGGACATCAAGACATGGAAAAATCTACTAGAGGCGTGGTCGCCGTTCAACGACCACGATTACATCACGCTACTTATGATTTTCATATTTATGATTGATGTATTATTTTTTTTTATTTTATGAAGTTTATTATGCTTTTCCTTTTTTTTTCCCTTAAGGGATTAAGTATGTGTAAGCCCTAAGGGCATTGTAATACTTTTTATTTTCTCATTGTATGGGCTATTTAAAGCCCCCTTATTCTCTTTGAGAATCAATGAATGATTATTTGAGAATTTTGTCTTCTTGCTTCGAGTTATTGAGAGAGCTTGAGAGATCGGAGAGAGATCCCTTGGAGAGAGAGATTGGCGCATCACCCACCAACCTTGGAGACGGCCGGGTTTGTAGTTTCCTATCTTTGATTTCCCTTAACCCTATCACCCACCTTTCTTCACGATCTTACTTCCCCCTCGTCGTTTCCTTCCACCCACCAAAACACCGCCTACATCTCCACCTTGCCGTCGGTCCCTTAACCGCCCCCATTCAAACCGCCGGCCTAGCCCTCTGCCATCCCCATTGCCTACTTTGAATACTTCCTAATTTTGGATTGTCATAATTTAGTTGGTCTTTGAATTCAAATTTCCTCAAATTTGAAATTCAATTTTTTTCCTAAATTATAAAATCTATATTAGGAAAGTTTTCAAGTTTTCCCTCCTCTTGGTTTTTTCCCTCCATCACCAACTCGTCATTAAACCTTTCCTAAAATAGTCTTTATATTTTAGATAATTCTATTCATGAGTAAATTCAAATTTATTTGAATTTGAAAAGTTACCAAAAATACCAATCCTAATTTAGGAAAGTTTCCAAATCCCTTCCTCTTTGAGTTTTAAATTAATTTGGGATGAAATATCTCTTCCCAAATTTAATTCCCTAACTCAATGAAGCATTAAAGGTTTCCATAAAAATTTCCCCAATTCGTGCCGCCAACCCCTCCTAGCTCCTTGGTTTTATTTCATTGTTGAATCATCATAAAGCTTTAATTAACTAGCTCTTACTCAATAAGCGTGCAAATTCCTTATTAAAATCGTGTTTTCATATATGACCTGCATCAGTTTTCTATTGCAGTACCATTTGTAGGCTCAGTTTGAACTAAACTTTATGCATAATTATGGTTCTATCTGCAAATCAAGTGATTAATCACAAGGACCTAGAGGTGATGTTTAACTCAATTCATCTGCATACTATTCGTATATCTGATTATCAGGAAAGGCTGAAAGAACAGGTAAATCCTACTTTAAATGGTCCAAATCACATAATTATTGAGGCAAAAATAGCAATCAATACACTTACGGATTTTTGGCTAGATTCAATATGCAAGCCAACTCAGATCCAAGCCCAACCAGATATTAAATTATATATATATATATATATATAGAAACGATTATACAACAACAACAACAACATCAAGCCTTTATCCCACTACGTGGGGTCGGCTACATGAATCCTTTTTCTTCATTGTGTCCTATTAAAAGTCAAATTCTCGTTTAAATCTAATAAAGAAAGGTCATTCCTAATATTTTCTAACCAAGTCTTTTTAGGTCTACCCCTACCTTTCTTAACATAAGTCAAATCTAATACCTCTACTCTCCTAACCGGGTCATCAGAAGGCCGTCATTTCATGTGACCAAACCATCTAAAGCGAATCTCTCTAATCTTATTTTCTACTGGAGCTACTCCAACCTTTTCACGTATATGCTCATTTCGTATCCTATCTCTAAGGGTAAAGCCACTCATCCACCTGAGCATTCTCATCTCTGCCACACTTAACTTAGTATTATGCTTCTCTTTTAATGGCCAACATTCGGCACCATAAAGCATTGCAGGCCTCACTACCATCTTATAGAATTTTCCCTTAAGTTTGAGGGATACTTTTCTATCACATAACAAGCCCGATGCATTCCTCCACTTCAACCATCCAACTTGAATTCTGCTGATAATATCCCCATCTATATCACCATCACTCTGAACAATAGATCCAAGATATCTAAAACGTGTACTCTTACTAATGACTTCATCGCCAAAAGTCAGAATCCCCTCACTAGGTCTATTACTACAAAAATGACACTCCATATATTCCGTTTTAGATCTACTCAAGCGAAAACCTTTAAACTCTAAAGTTGACCTCCATAATTCAAGTTTACCTTCAACTCCCTCTCTAGTCTTATCAACAAGAAGAATATCATCAGCAAAAAGCATATACCAAGGTACATCCTCTTGCAAATGTATAGTGAGAACATCCATGACTAAAGCAAAAAGATATGGGCTTAAGGTTGATCCTTTATGTAACCCAACCGAAAAAGGGAAATACTTGATCAAACCAACTTGTGTTTGAACATAAGTAATAGCTCATGCATTATCTTTAATGATTTGAATATAAGCATTATTAACTCCTTTCTTTTCAATAACTCTCCAAAGCACTTCTCTTGGAAATTTATCATATGCTTTTTTAAATCAATAAATATCATATGTAGATCCTCCTTATTTTCTCTATATTTCTCCATCAAACCTCTTAATAAATGTATGGCTTCCATAGTCGACCTTCCCGGCATGAATCCAAATTGATTTTGAGAAACATTAGTATCACACCGCAACCTATGCTCCATAACTCAGCTCCCATAGTTTTAATGTATAACACATTAACTTAATTCCTTTATAATTCGCACAATTTTGTGCATCACCTTTATTCTTAAAAATAGGAATTAACACCCTCATTCTCCACTCATCTGGCATCTGTTTAGTTTTCAAAACACTATTAAGAAGTTTAGCAAGCCAAGAAAGTGGATGAAAAGAGAATTTATCATCTCTCGGATGAAGAGAGTGGATGAAACAAACAGAATCCAAAACACAAGGCATATAGAGAAAAACAAATTTTGTGGATAAAAATGAAATGGGAGTGGCCCAATTTAGTCTAATGGGAGATACACAGTTGATTAAGTAGCAAACTCTAAAAAAGAATCTAACTAGAAATATTGATGTACATTCAATCGCACCATTTGATTGGAAAGTAGAAGGCTGAGATGTTGATATATAATATCATTTTCGCATAAAAGGAATGAAAAGTGGCTGCATATCTTCCAAGGCATTATCAGAATGAAAAACACTAATAGAAGTGGAAAATTGAACTTTTATTACTAAATAAAGTTATTTGAATACAAGAAACACATCAGCTAAACAGTTTAACAAGCATATGCAAATAACTCTACCTTCGTTATCAATAAAAGAGATGGTAATAAATCTAAATGGGTTAAGTTGGACATGATCCCAAACATTGAAAGGTACTAAGTTACTGGGAGCTTTACCACAAGATGATGTTGACACTAGAATAAAAGAGTCATGGTGACATTTACCACGCTCACAGTCTCGATTGATTTCACCATAGAATTGGTGCAATGTATAGATAATAAATACAAATAATGGAATAGAAAAAATTTACGTGAGGATATTCTCAATTGTGTGAATATATTATATAATAAAGACAGGATATTTTCTAATTACTAATTTTCCAAACAAATAAATCTTTATATAACAATAGAAAATTCGAAAATTTATTAAGAAGTGCTAATGCCCGGATAAAGATGAACAAGGAAGAGAGGCAAGTCAAAGATGATAAAGTTGGAAACCGTAAGTAAGGATTAACTAAACCAGAAGTAAAAACTAATGCACCTATCAATAAGAATGAATAACACGCAATGATCTACAAAGGCAACCAAAATAGTTGGGACAAGGACGGTGAAAGAAGAGGCAATGACGAAGATTAACACTATAGGTTTGTTAGCAAGATGTGTCTAGAAATGAGTGCCAAAATAAGGAAAAAAAGTTTAGGTGTTAGGAAAACGGAAACTGTAAGGGACACCATCATATTAAGGGATATTGCTTTAGTGGGAATAGAAGAAGAAAAAGTTGAAAAACTAAAAGCTCGATGCAAACAGAGACTAGCAAAAGTAACTGTAGCATCAACTTATTTATGCATTGAGCTTCGTTATCTTACAATTGAGAAAAATACTGTTAACTGAACAGAGATATTCTAATAATTTAATAAACATTGTCCTCATGCCAACACGCTCATATGACATCTAACAAATAAAAATGAATCCTGGATGATTATATCACCTAAACACGGTGAGAAATAATAATAAAAAAAAAAATAGAGCTTGCAATGCATTTCAACTAAACAATTCCATACTTGATATAATGTATGAACAGAGTAAAAAGTACTCAAACTTCAATAGCTTGAATAATCAAAATAGATGATATGAATAAGCATATTGAAAATGCAACAACATAACCCTTCAAACCTCATCCAAAGGGTCAATTCCCTCTCTTATTGCCAATTCTTCCTCTTCAGACAAGGTTCCTTCATCATCCTAAAAAAAGGTATGTGAGCTTATATCAGTCTGTCGTTGTGGCTAAAATGTTCAAAAGCAGAGTTCAAAGGTTTTAAAATGCAACTACAGGTTCTGGACACACAATTGGCATGGGAACAACATGGGGAAAACAGATTCAAAATAAGATGTGTTGGTGAAAAATCATGTCTCAGAATTTCTGAGGTGGACATCGATTAGAGATTCAAGCATGTGTATCGCCGGAGACGGTGCCGATCGATGGCTACGATTCAGAGCCTTTAATTTTTGATGTATTTTATGTTTTATTTAGTTGGCATTTTTATTTCCTAGTTTACCCCTATGGGGAGTGTTGTCTTATTGTAGCCCAAAGGCATTTGAGTACTTTTATTTTTCCTTATGTTTGAAGACCTATTTATAGGGGTCTCATGCTTTGTAATAGACTAATGACTATTGAAATGAAAAATTTGTGTTTGTTTCTATTTCTTCTTGCATGAGAGCTTGAGAAGGGAGAGAGCTCAAGGGGAGCATTCGCAAGGCCCACCAGTCGTTGGAAGAGTCCGCGGCTCGTGGTTAAGGTGGTTCTATCTTCTTTTGTGTTTTCCCCTCATTTTCCATCACGAAACTCCTCTCCCTCCTCTATGGAAACCGCCGGCCCCCTTCTTTGATGGGCTCCATTAATGGCTCATCAATCTCCCTTAATTATATTTGAAATTTGAAAATAATTTCAAATAACTCCCTCCTAATTTACTAAAATCTGAATTTAATTTCAGATTTGAGTAAATCTCTTGCCATCCTCATCTAACCTAGATTTTCCCCCTCTCCCACCTGGGCCGAAACCTTCTCTTCCTCCTTGGAAATCCCGCCGGCCTCTCCTCCCTCATCTTCCCTTCTTCCAACGCAAGGATTCCCTCTCACCCTCATTTAAATCTCTTCTCCTTTGAGGATTCTCCAACATCAAGCATGCATGGCGGATCAGGAGTTTGAGTGGGGTCTTGTGTTCAACGCCGACGGAAGCTTGAATATCCTACGGTCACTATTCTTTGACGTTGGATTTGAAGACGACGCCACCGTTGGAGATTACTTGGAACGAGTGGTTCCTACCTTTGCAAGCGTCATCGACCGCCAACATCCAAACTACAATTGGAGCATCGACCGTCGTTCATGTCCATTGTCCTCGCCACCGATAACCTTCCCGTGGATCAAGGCCGTTGTGGTTGCTACCGTCCTCGTGGCATCGTCGGATTTGCTAAAGACCTTCTTCCACTAAGCCTAGTGTAGTTGAGTGATCAATCCCCAAGGTGAAAACTCTCATTATTAAATCGCGGATTGTTGATTAATAGCTTTCGGTATTGCTACTATCTTTGGTTACCTTTGAGTTTTGGTTAATCTACTTGTACTCCTTCGCCTAAGCAAGTCAAAGACTAAGGTTCTTTAATGAATTTACTTGTTATTTCAATAAGTTATCGATTGAGATTACATTGTCCATCGTTCTTAAATTTCTTAACAAGCTCCTTCGCATGTGGTTTCACATCAATTTCAGCTCAAAGGAAAATTCCCACAAAACCATTCCAGGGCAGCAGACAGAAAGCAAGTGTCAATTACCTAGACTAGGAGACTCTAGAAACTCAAGGTTAATGGTTTCATGCATGATCCTTCAGGAAGAAAAAAAAAACAACGCCCACAAATGGAAAAGCATTGTATGGAGGAAACAGGAATATTAGGAATGATAATGATAGACTGTCCTCCACAATGAAAGCAAAAATAATATTAAAATACAAATTCCCCAAACCAAATTTTCCTATACAAGAATATTCATACAATGTTCGTAACAATCACAAGAAAAAGCAAGTTATCTTAATAAAGGAACAAAAATCATACTAGATTTACTCATACCTGCACTTCATCACCAAGAATAAGAAAATCTTCATCATCCTAAATGAAGAAAGAAACAAGACTATATAGGTCATCAATATTCAATAAGCAAAAGCAACAAAAATGACGTCACTAGCAAACTAAGAAAATAAAAGTATCATAAAAACTTTAAAAAGCATCTAAAGTTAAAGACAGGTCACTTAAAAAACTGAGCAAATGAAATAAAATCCAAGGGAAAATAGACATCTCTAATGAGAGTAGTCCGTCAAGCCAGCGATGAAGCATGGATGGAATAGACATGTAAAGCAAATAAACTTTTATGAAAATGATGCAATTTAGTTGAAGCATGGATCTGCCAAAAAAAAAAAACACTATTGTTGTCAAGTTCCAAGTCCTGGATGAGAAAAGTGAATGATTGTGTTAGGTAGTCGATAGCCAATATAAAATTTATCGAATAATCATGGCATGCATCATTTAATACATTTCGTTAATGCTAGGGCAGTCCCTGGAAGTGACATGCTCAATTCAGTGAGAAGTGTACAAGAGCCGCTGCACCGGCGCCTGAGTTCAGCGTTACATATGCAAGGGTTCCACATTAGGGGTGGGAAAAGAAGCAAGCACATGAAACTAAAATTAAGATAGAAATTTGAAATGTAGGTCCCCTTACAGTCAAATTAATATAAATTAATAAATATTATGATTCAGAGGAAAATAAATATTCTATACATTCAGGAAACTGAATGGGTTGTAGAGAAGGCTTAGGAGATTCATTGTTTAGGATTTAAACTATGATATTCCAGTAGTTGTACAATAAATAGTGTATGTGTGATTATATATAAGAGTTTGAAGGATAATATTGTAAAAATTAATAGAATTGGAGATAGAATTACAATTTTAAAGATTGTTGTTGATGCTAAGATTATTAATATTATAAGTGCTTATGCTCCCCAAATAAGTTTGGATATAAGTTAAAAATTAAAATTTTGGAATAACTTAAAAGAATTAATACAAAAGATACCTCTTTAAAAAAGTTTTTATTAGAGGAGATTTAAATAAATATATTGATAGATAGGTAAATGATTTTAAAAGCATTCATAGTGGCTATGGATTTAGAGAAACAAACTAAGGTGGTAAGACTATATTAGATTTTTCTATAGCTTATGATTTTGTAATTGTTAATACATTATTTAAAAAAAGAGATGAGCATCTCATCACTTATAAGAATGGATATAATAAAACTTAAATTAATTATTTTCTTATAAAAAATATATCTTTCAGATTGCAAAAATTGTAAAGTTATTCCGAGTGAAAGTTTATATATCTAATATTGCTTATTAGTTTTAAATTTTAAAATGAAAGGACAACATATAAAAAATTAAGTAAAATGTTGCTCAAGGATTTGATGGAGATATTTAAAGAATATCAATGAAAAAACTTTTGAGAGATATTCAATATCTTAAAATTTTGTCTGTGCATGAGAAGACTAATATTATGTGGGAAAAAGTAACTAGTAAAATTAAGAATGTTGCAAAAAATGTGCTTGGAGTATCAAAGTGAAAAACTCCTAACAATATAAATAATTTGTGGTGTAATCAAAATGTGCAAGAAAAGATTTAAAAAAATAAGAAGATTTGTTATAAAAATTGGTTTAAATGAAAAAACTCTAATAATTGAAAAAGATACAGAGAAGCCAACAAGGAGTCTAAGAAAGCAATTTGCAATGCAAACAGTTTAGCTTTTAATGATTTATAGAATAAATTAAATACTAAGGAGGACTAAAGATATATGTTTAAGTTAGCCCAACAAAAAGATAGAAGTAAAGACTTAATTTAAGTGAAGTGCATTAAAGATGAAGATCAAAAAGTGCTTTTATTAGAAGAGGATATTTAACAAAGATGGATGAAATATTTTACTAAACTTTTCAATGAAGATTGTGAGAATATGATTGACTTTAGTGATCTTAGCATCCTAAATAAAAATAAAGATCTTTATTTTTATCGGCGTATGAGTAAAATTGATGTTAGATATGCTTTAAAGTAAATGAAGTGTGGAAAAGCTGTTGGACTTTATGATATTCCAATAAATGTGTGGAAATACTTCAAAGATAAAAGAATTTCTTGGCTTACTAAACTTTTTAATATTATTTTGAAGACAAAAAAGATGTTAGATGAGTGAAGAATGAGTGTGTTGATTTCTCTATTTAAAAATAAAGGTGAAGCACAATATTGTGTGAATTAAGTTAATGTGTCATACTTTAAAATTATGGGAGAGAGTTATGGAGCATAGGTTACAATGTGTTGGATTCATGCCAGGTAGGTCTAATATAGAAGCTATTCATTTATTAAGAGATTTGATGGAGAAGTATAGAGAGAATAAGGACGATCTTCAAATGATATTTATTGATTTAGAGAAAGCATATGATAAAGTTCTAAGAGAAGTGCTATGGAGAATTCTAGAAAAAGAAAGTGGTTAATAATTTTTATATTCAAGTAATTAATAATATGTATGCATGAGTTGTTACTTATGTTCAAACGCAATGTGGTTTGAATATTTTCCTATTTCTGTTGGATTACATGAAGGATCAACTTTAAGCCCATATCTTTTTGCTTTAGTCATGGATGTTCTCACTAGACATTTGTAAGAGGTTATATCCTGGTGTGTGTTTTTGCTGATGATATTCTTCTTGATGATAAGATTAGAGAGAAAGTTGCAGGAAAACTTGAATTATGGATGTCAACCTTAGAGTCTAAAGGTTTTCATTTGAGTAGATCTAAAACTGAATATATTGAATGTAATTTTAGTAGTAATAAATCTAGTGGGGGGATTGTGACTTTGGGTGATCAAGTCACTAATCAGAGTACTCATTTTAGATATCTTGGGTCTATTGTTCAAAGTCATAGTGAAATAAATAGGAATATTATTAGTAGAATTCAAGTTGAATGGTTGAAATGGAGGAATGCATCAGGCTTGTTGTGTGATAGAGAAGTCCCCCTCAAACTTAAGGAAAAATTCTATAATATGGTGGTGAGACTTGCAATACTTTATGGTGTAGAATGTTAGCCATTAAAAGAAAAGCATAATATTAGGTTAAGTGTTGCAGAGATGAGAATGCTCAAGTGGATGAGTAGCTTTACTCTTAGAGACAAGATACGAAATAAGCATATACGTGAAAAAGTTGGAGTACCTCATGTGGAAGATAAGAAGATTAAAGAGAGTCGCCTTAGATGGTTTGGTCACATAAAACGGAGGCCTTCCGATGACCCGATTAGGAAAGTAGTTGTATTGAATTTGTCTTATGTTAAAAAAGGTAGAGATAGACCTAAAAAGACTTGGTTAAAAATATTAGAAATGTGATAGGAAACACTTGAAATCAAGTATTTCCTATTCACCTTTACAGCAAAACTCTACGAAATACTGCTGTCCGGAGCAGGAAAACAGTAAAAACAGCAGAAAAACTATAGAAAACTGATAGAAATTCGTAGGAAAAACTTGTATTTTACTAGTAGAAGAAGAAAACAGCAAAGATACAATTGATCCTCAATTCAAGAGGAGGATCGATCTCTCCCAAATCTCTAGACGCCGCTAGAGCCCAAAGAAACCTAAATCTAAGAGATCTCAAATTTCAGCCAAATTTAAAATGCCCAAACCCTAGCAAAAATCAACTATTTAATGCATACAAATCAAAAGGAATTCCCTAAACAGTCCCTACATTCAAATTTCTCTCTAAAACCCCCCAAAAATCCTTCCTAAAACACTCCGTTTGAGCTGTCGGCCCGCCCGATCTCCGCAGGAGGCGGAGATCACGCGAC